TGGGACCGACGACGTGAGCGACACAACTCCAGTACTCTTTTCTGCTTGGGAAACAACGGCGCGTCATGTTTGACGAAAATGCAGGCGTACACGACGGGATGTTCACGCAATGATGACATTGATTTGGCGGGCATGTCTAGAGTCGACATGTCGCCCTGTTGTTTTTTAGTAGGTGGTGCGTTCGGGCTGAATAGCATACGGACAGCCGTCAAGCCACTTTGAGCGATTTAGGAGACGGCATGGTTTAGTGTCTTATTTTCGTTGGACGAGCCGGCGACATGGACCTTATGATGTTAATGAGGGAATCAAAAGCTCTTTTTCCACTGATGTTATGCGTCCGCGATTGACTGTGATGTGCTGTGATGCGTTGTATGTATGCGGCTTTTTCATAAGTAGAGACTAAGGCTGGCTCTAGCGACGGGTGAGGTGGCAATGGACACCGCTTCACACACTAGGGACCCATGGAAGTATTGGGCATTGACGACGGGCGGGTGTTGGAGAGAGATGAAGCGGCCGAAAGATTCAAAGGCATTGCGCGTCCAGGGGTACGAGAGAGTCGTGTGTGCCACCTGCGATGTGGTCGGGTTGGGTACAGGTGAAGGGATAGCAGCCTAATGCAGGGAGCGCGGTGACGTGCGTACGTAATCCGGGATCAAGTTGCGACCTGCCCCTCGAGGCGTCCGTCTTGGCAGTCGCCCCACGTCGTCATCGGGTAAGCAAAACAGAGGCTCAAAGTCGACGAACGCGCATCCAGAACGAGGCGGAGCCAGGCAGTCACGTTGCCGCCCAGTATATCCTTCCCGCTGTGCTAGACTCCTGTCCACCTGCACCGCCAACATGAACATCATCAAGCTGCAAAAGTACGTGGGCGCGCCGCCCTTCTTACAGTATCCGCTGGCTTCCACGGTAACTAACAGGCCATTGCGCACAGGAAATACCCCCAGTTCGAGCAGGGCGAGATCTTTGGCCTGCAGGATGCCTTCCGTAAGCTCGACGTCGACGACAAGGGCTACCTCGACGAGAGCACCGTCATCAAGGGCGCCCAGCAGTCGGAGCACCAGCCCTACGACGTGGTGCGACAGGCCCTGAAAGAGGTGGAACTCGACAGCTCGCGGAGGGTAGAGCTCGACGACTATGTAGATGTACGCATTGCAGCATACCACGTACCACGTGCAAGCTAACCACATCAGCTCATCTCCAAACTGCGCGTCTCGTCGCCTGCCCAGCAGCGCATGTCGACCGGCCCAACCCGCCCGCGAGCCGGCACAGCTTCCAGCGTCAACTCGCCCTCGAACCCAGGTCACGCCTCCAAAGGCAGCGTCGGTGGTGGCAGGATCCAGGTCCAAGGCTCTTCAGCAAACGTCACCCACACCATCAACGAAGATGAGCGCACCGAGTTCACGCGCCATATCAACGCCGTCCTCGCCGGCGACCCAGATATCGGCGACCGCCTGCCCTTCCCGACTGATACGTTTGAGATGTTCGACGCCTGCAAGGACGGATTGGTCCTGTCCAAGCTTATCAACGACAGCGTGCCGGACACCATCGATGAACGTGTGCTGAACAAGCCGGGCAAGAAGATCAAGTCGCTCAACAACTTCCACTTCACCGAGAACAACAACATCGTCATTGAGTCGGCCAAGGGTATCGGGTGCTCCGTCGTCAACATTGGCAGCGGAGACATCATCGAAGTACGCGAGCACTTGATTCTGGGTCTGATCTGGCAGGTCATCCGGAGAGGTCTGCTAGGCAAGATTGACATCAAGCTACACCCTGAATTGTACAGGTTGCTGGAGGACGACGAGACACTGGAGCAGTTCCTGCGTCTGCCCCCGGAGCAGATCTTGCTGAGATGGTTCAACTACCACTTGAAGAACGCCAAGTGGCACAGAACGTATGTACAAGCTCAATCGTACTCATCACATAGCTAACCTTCTTAGCGTCTCCAACTTCTCTACCGACGTCAAGGATGGCGAGAACTACACCGTCCTCCTCAGCCAGCTCGCCCCCGAAACCTGCTCTCGCGCGCCGCTCCAACAGACCGACCTCCTCCAGCGCGCTGAGATGGTCCTGCAGAACGCCGACGCCCTCGACTGCCGCAAGTTCCTCACACCCACATCGCTCGTAGCTGGAAACCCGAAGCTCAACCTGGCTTTCGTCGCCAACCTGTTCAACACACATCCCTGCCTCGACCCCATCACCGAGGAGGAGAAGGCCGAGATTGACGACTTCGATGCGGCAGGAGAGCGAGAGGCCCGTGTCTTCACTCTGTGGCTCAACTCTCTCGATGTCAAGCCCGTCGTACAATCGTTCTACGAGGATCTCAAGGACGGCACAGTTATCCTACAAGCATACGACAAGGTCATTCCAGGCAGCGTAAACTGGCGACACGTAAACAAGCCGCGCGAAGGCCAGGAACTGATGCGCTTCAAGGCCCTCGAGAACACCAACTACGCCGTCGAGCTCGGCAAGCAGGTCCAATTCTCGCTACCAGGTATCCAAGGTGCCGACATCACCGACGGCCAGCGCACACTCACCCTCGGTCTCGTATGGCAGCTGATGCGCAAGGACATTGTCTCGACCCTCAACGGTCTTGCCCAACAGCTCGGCAAGCGCGAAATCTCCGACGCAGACATGATCAAGTGGGCCAACGACATGGCACGCAAGGGCGGCAAGAGCACCCAGGTCCGCTCCTTCAAGGACTCTTCCCTCGCCAACGCCGTCTTCCTACTCGACGTCCTCGCCGGCATGAAGCCCGCTTACGTCGACTACGACCTCGTCGCCCAGGGCCGCAACGACGACGAATGCTACCAGAACGCCAAGCTGGCTATCAGTATTGCGCGAAAGATGGGCGCTACCATCTGGCTTGTACCTGATGATATCGTTGCCGTGCAGAGCAGGCTTATCACTACTTTCATTGGTAGCTTGATGAGCACGCATGAGAAGATGGGTGGACAGTAAGCGCAGTTTTTTGAGATCGTCTTGACTGAATGTAAGCCTTTTGAGGCGGATGGGTAAACGATGGAACGAACGCCCTATGGGTGAAGCGTGCGAGCGTTTTTAGTTTTGTCTTTTGGAAAATAAGTTCTTCGCAAGGAATGAGAAAATATCATCGTTGTTCACTGTCATCCTTCTTTGAGTTCAGCTTTTTGATCGGAGACATTATTCCAGATCTATTCCTTTTGAGGTAGACATGCGCGGTTGGACGGACATGGATCAACAGTGTCGATAATTTGTTCACATCTACCAAGCCTGGGAAGAAGGCCGAAGCACACACATAACGATACCTGTTGTGAGTTTTAGAAGATTTTGCTTGCAGGTTGCGTCTTCGGTCGTTCTTCTCCATATGGGCATTCTGAGAGAGTTTTTCATGGCATCAGTTTCATGATCTAGAATGCAACATGACTCCGACAGTCTTTACTTTGATTCTTCTTTTGCGAGTTTTCGCAGAGACGGAGGAAACATAAAAACGAACTGGTGTTGCTTTCTGTCTCAACCTGAAGTAACGCCTGGCAGCGTTCCAACGCACTTTTTCCATGTAACTTTGAACTCTTCATTTTGAAGGATACGATCTGATTCAAGTCGACGGAAGAATGGAGAAAGAGTCCAGCGACACAAAGGCATACGTTGTAAGAGTGTCTTTTTCGGAAGGCAGAGGAGAGCCATCGCGCTCTGTTCCAGATTTTTGTGGTTGGTTCTGAGTTGGGGGACGGCGGAAGAGAGGAACATGCTGTTTTGGTGGCGCGTATTTTTTGGAGGAAGCACACACATGTCTCGTAAGCCTCTATGTTTTGGTCCAGGAAAAGGTGGATGTGGAGAGTGTGTTGAAGTAAAGACCACCTGGGCATAATTGCAGAGGACGTTCTCTTTGGAGAAAGCGGACACATGTCTTTGTGCGCTATGATTTTTGGTTCCAAGAAAGACGGTGGTGAAGAGTGCGTGGAAGGCCTAAAGTCGAGAAAGTAGGGGCTTTTATACGCGACGACCAGCGGAAAGTGTCTGCGGCAAAATGCTGGAGAAACGACATCGGTCGGGTCTTTGTATTTTTGAGGTAGCTGCGATGCTTTGGCGGAAGCCGGCATGGAACATCTCTTTGGTGTTTTTGTTGTTGTTCACAGAGCAGAGGCGGATGCCATGAGTCCAGTCGAACGTATTTTTTGGATAATAGGTAGGCTACCTAGGTAGACATAATCGAGGGCCTGGACTCGGAGAAAAGAGGAAGCAGACACGCCCAGGCGTGTACTTTCTTCATTCCGGGAGAGATCAGGGGACATGACTGATGTCGAAGTGTCTTTGAAGTTTTGCGGTGGATTTCGGGGTTGTAGAGACACCTCGGGCATCAGGTCGAAACCTCGTGCTTTTGGTAATATGCGTCCTTAATGTGTTGGAACCCAAAGGCGGAAAACGGATCATAAAACATGTATTTGTCGGTTTTGAGAAAAGAAGGACATTAAATATTGAGTCCAAGCTTCTTGGAAAGCCACGTATTGTGGGGGTAGATAGAAGAAAGAAGGAGGAGGGAACATTATCGAGCTTATGTACTGCCTCCATGACAAAAGATGAGATGACAGAGTGTCGGAGAAAACAACATGGCTTCGAGAACTTTCAGTTTGGAAGAAGAAAATATTGTACACAAACATTATACGAAACTTACCTTTGCACTTGGCCATGCTCTATACAACTATGGCAACTATTTATTTACTCCTATAGCTTTCCTTCTCCATAGGGCCTCGCTCACGTCCTCATCCCCCCACCCCTAACCCCCATACTAACCGCCTCCGTCCCTTCACTCTTCTCCCACCCATCCGCCTTCCTCCTCCCCAACGCCCTCCTCAATATCCATTCCTTCGCCCTAACCTCTTCCTCGCCGTTACCATCCCCTCCCTCCACCAAATTTTTCAACAAAACATCATCCTCGGGCCGACAAAAATACACAAGACTAAACCTCTCCACACTGCCCTGCTCCCCAGGCGGCGCAACAACACGATGGATATTACTCCTCAACGCGCCATTTGAGAACTTGACGAGTGCGTCGCCTAAGTTGACGATGCAGTGGCCGGGTAAGGGACGGACATACGTCCAGCCATCTTCGCAGAGTTTCTTCTCGATGGCTGTGGGTGGTGGGGATGTGGATGCTGGTGCGAGAGGGGAGATGTGGGATGGCAGTCTGACTTGCAGGCCACCTAGGCGGTTGAATAGGACTGTGACGCTGCCGAAATCTGTGTGTTCGCCTAATGCGACGCCCTTGAGGGATTGTTCTTGGGGTGGTGCTTTGACGAAGCGGATTTGGTCGCCTGATGAGGCGTGCAGACGGTGGATTGCGGGTAGGCCGCCTGCTGAAACCTTTTCTGTTGCTAGAGGGAGGCGGGAGGAGAGGAGGGAGGTTATGAGCATGCAGATTGCATGGGAGGATGTGATGTAGGATTTGTATAGGTCGCGATGTGGGTTCAGGACGGCTGGGGAGGGAAGGGGGGAACTGAGGCCGAGAATGTCGTCTTTGGAGATCTAGAAGTATTGGGTTAGTAGTTGAGGTTGGAACATTGGAGTAGGAGAGGAGGAAGATTGATGTACATTGTAGAATTCGTTCCGGTCTTTCGTCCCTTGCTTATCGACATAACCTTCGCCGTTTCCTTTGTAGCCAAAGTAACTGCCTTGGTCTTTGAAATCGTATTTGATCTTCTCCGAGACATCTAGATCGTAGAAGTCTCGCATGACTTCAAATAGCGTATCCACATATTCAAGTAACGCATCGCCGTGGACGGCGGATTTATCGGTGGTATTGGTGCTGTCACTGTTTAAATGTGTATCGGAGTTGCGTACGTCAAGATAGAAGAAACCCAGCTCGCGACATGCTTGCCAACATCTGTTTTGTTCTTCTTCGTCGTGGTTGAGTAGCTTTTGAAGCGAGATGCGGAGAAGTGGCGCGGTGGGTACGTTGTCGGGGAAGACTGGAAGGTCGGGAAAGTGATCGCGTGGTGGGGATGGGGAGTGGTCTGAGTGAGGCATGGCGAGTAGGTGTCAGATGTTTCATGTGGTGAACTACATCGCGGAGGAACGCAAGATACGTGCGTTGTTCGCATGTCGTGTGGGCCGGGTATAACTGCTGGTGATAAGGTAGACAAGTGGACGAGCGCGTGGAGAACGCGGGGTAGCCTCGGATAGCTAGGGCGATAGACAACACTAGGGAATGACGATAGAGTTCAGAAGGAGCAATCACAACAACAAAAGACAGAGACATCACGATGCATGAGACGATTGTTAAAGGAGACGCAATTCATTAACTATCCACAGATGTAGCTCCGATATTTCCACCACCCGAACAAGCAGACATGAACACCGACCCAAACACCGAGAGCGATAGACACCGATCGATGCCTGAGAGCGCCATGCTACCCGTCAAGTGACGATGCAAAAGTTATGAACACAAGTATAAGATGAGGGGCCATGAGCAAGCAAACGCCTAAGGGATGATTGAAGATCGAACGTTTGAATGAGACCTGAGCAATGTTAGACAATGCGCGACGATAGACTCTGAAGGTAATGATGACTTACCATTGACGAGATGTTTCTACAACCTGGATCCGTGGACAACCTTGTAGTCGACAGCCATCTCCATACCATCGTCATCGATGACGAGGATGCGAACGCTGCCACGGCCGTTGTCGAAGGACTCGGTCAGGCGGGAGATGAGACCGCTCTGGTCAAGGACGGGAAGACCCTGCTTGACATCGCCAGACTCGGTCATGGCAACAACGCGACCGTCCTCACGGATGTCAAGAACACGGTACTGCTTGAAGACAGGTCCGAGCATGTTCTGGACAACGACGGAAGGAGCCGGGTTGGAGATGAAGGAGGACTCCTCATGGAGCTGCTTGGTGAACAGGTCAACACCGAGGTAACGGTGCTGGCCAGTCTGGGAGGAGGTGGTGATGCGGATGACCTGGCAAGGGCGGCCCTGGAGGATCAGGAGATCGCCAATGCGGATGTGGTGGCAGGGGATGGTGATAGTCTTGGTGGAAGCCATCTTGCGGACTGTACGGACAGAAGTCGGGACAGGTGCGATAGAAGCGGAGACGGGTGCGGGTGCGTGGGTTATGGAGTGGGAGTGGGCAGGTGCAGCAGCAGAGACTGTGGACCTGGGAGGGGCTGGGGCTGGGGAGCTGTGGACGCGAACGACCCTTTCAACTGGAGCTCCGGATTGGACGGGGCGGGCAGGGGCAACAGAAGGAGTAGCTGAAGTGTACTTCTCCTTGACGATTACCTCTTCACGGTCGTCGTCGTACTTGGCACCGGGGTAGGAGTGCTCGTGAGAGTGGTGGTGACGGTGAGGGTGGATGGGGTGTTGGATACGGTCGGCGACCTTGTGAGCGGCGTGAGAGATTCCTTGACGAAGCGAGTGGTATTGGCCCTCGTTGTCGTAATATCCCATATCACGCTTGCGGTGCTTGGGGGGTGCGGCAGTGGAACGAGCAGATGATTCTACTCGGACCTCAGATGGCTGGTGGGAGGCAACAGACTCGACGTGCTTGCTGCTGGGGAAGGTGTCGTGCTTGGTGGTGTAAGTCTCCTTCGAGTAGCTTGCACCGGCGACGATGGGACGGGTACGTTCGCGAATCTGACGTTCAGTAACGTCGATTTGGGATGGAGCGTAGTCGGTGGCAGGGCCGTGGACTGTATTGAAGTGTCTATCGTAGGTCCTGTCCTGAACCTCGACGTGGGAGTGGGATGATGTAGGAGGTTGGGGGTGAGGTTGGTAGCTGAAGGAAGAAAGGAAGGTCAGCTTTGGGTTGGGCAAGGAAGAGCTTAGAGGAGGTGAGGGAAAAGTGGGGCCTGCATGTCGCTAGGACAACAACAGATGAAAGGGGTTAGCGGCTAGCGCGTGGCTGGGTGCCGCTAAAGTCAGGGGGTTGGTCTGTTGTGCTGATCCGTGCGAAGATGCGCTGGCAAAACAATGGATCGGACTTACCGGTCGTGGGATCGCTCAAACTCTACGCGGTCAGTACGCTGAACGTGCTGAGAATGAGGCTGGGGCTGGGGCTGGGGCTGTCCGGGCTGTCTGTAGCGAGTCTGCTCGTGGATATGTAGCTCCTCACGGTGTTGAGGAGGCTGCTGAGCGTGAAACTGCTGGGGCTGGGGAGCCTGCTGAAACTGCTGCTGCTGCTGGGGAGGAGGCTGGGGACGACGGAGGCGCTCTTCTTCGTAGATGCGGACCTCTTCCTTGACGTGGGTGTCGTGGTGTTGCTGCTCAAACTGCTGCTGCTGTTGGGGAGCCGGAGGAGGAGGGAGGACGGTAGCGGAGAAGGATTCGTGGACCTCTTCGTGACCTTCCCGTCCGTGAGAAGCCTGTTGCTCGAACTGTGCTTCCTGTTCTTCTACCTGGACACTGGTAGATTCCTTAACTTCCGCGTTCCGATACGCAGACGGGAAGACACTGAAGGGGATCGGAACCTGGGTGGATTAGCATAATTGCTTATACACTCGCGGTGAGAGAGCATACTCGTGCTTCAAAATCCAGTTTGCCGGAGTCTGGTCGTTCGTTCCTGAAAACCCTTCGAACCGTTCGAAAACAATTCGAAAGGAATCAAGAAGAACTTCTTGGCTCCTTTGAGGGTCTCACGTGGAGATATTTGGAGATATAGGATCTACTGAAGAGTCGCCAGCTTTATGGTGTTGACGTGCAGCAGCTTGAAGATGCGCAATTGGATGCAGTAGCGGGGTGTAGGTGGAGGAGTGATGGAGTCAGGCTGGCCGAGGAGGGGGATCAAGTAGATTGGCGGTCAGTCGGATCACTGTTGTGTCGGCGTATCGATGGTCGCAGGGTTGTGGAGGCTGGGAAGCTTTGGCAGAGCTGTTCAAGCTGGGACTAGCCTTATTGACACGGAGCACTAGCGCGTATCAGCTTCCCCTTTTTCCCAGCCATGGACCGATTCAACCCCAGAGAACCCATCACATCCTGGCGCTTCTCGCACCGAGGTAATTTCGGACGCGCAACTGATCTTAGCACGGCTGTTGACCGGGCAATGGCCAGCACTTGGTGTCGCAATCCAGAGTCGAGTCGCATTGGAGCTCCACAGAGCTGCCGGGAACTTCCCCGACCTGGCTGCAGCTCCACGACCATGGCCATTGGCAGTGGGCCGATCCCAATGTTGCGTGGTATGCTTCAATTGGGGCCGGACGGCCTGCTCATGCATGATGCGCCAGCTCCTCCGTGAAGAGAGGCATTTTCAGCTCAGCCTATCCATGTCGCGCGCGGCCAGCTGTTGATAGCTCCAAGCCTCTCCCCAGCCACCGCGTTTTCGTCGCGTCATAATTGGTCAGAGCTCCATATTGCTGCAGCCCGAAAAGCATGGCTGCAGCTGCGTGGCCCGACGATCACGGATCCGCCGGACTATCACGTGCGAGACGGTTCATCGATCGCGGTCCAGGTGCTGCAAATTGACGCGGACTGGGTGAGCTGTCCGGTCGCTTGTGGACTCGACGCATGTGAACCGTGGTTCTCAACGGCTGTCCGCATCATCGTCCCCACGACGTGCGCCCGCGTCTGACATGCAGCACCTGCCGCAGCGACGGTTTCGTGATTGTGGAGAGTTTAGTGATTCGATTGGTGTGCTACAAGGACTGTGTGGTCTGTCAATGTCACGTAGCTGTTGTACGGTGTTCGCACTGAGAATGTCAGCAGTCTATACCCAGGAGCGAATGGTCGCTATAGTTCGGACAGTCTGCTATGCATGCCTCCAAATAGCTCCTGCAAGATCTGACTCTTTTTTTCTGCAATGCGCGTTTCTCTATACTTTTCCCTGTGTATACGTTGTCATACATAGCAACACTAACGACTTGTAACAAGGGTATAGAACCGACGTCGGGTTGGCTTCGGGAAGTCGATGACCCGACGAAGCATTGCCGATGATTTTTGCGATACCGGATGACCGAGCCGATTCTAATGACGATGGAATTTGCGACGTACTTCGATGTAGGAGTTGCATGTTTATGCGGAAATCGTCGTTGGCTGGCCGCGACTTCCAGCTGTTCAGTGGCTCTTCGCGCTGTTGTGTGCATCTTGGCTATCAGTATAGGTAGGAGCGACTATACAACCTTCCAAGGTTACTCTCTACACCCTTCTCATCTTTGCTATATCGTCCATTACATGATCAGTCCCATGCTTGGACGATACTCGTGGACGCCTCTAAGCTTTCCATTCCAGCGCGCATTATGTCATGTCTTCATGAGGCTCTATCCAGTCGCCATTTCCCCTTCTAGATCAGCTAGCAGCTGAAGCGGCAAGCGAGTTTGTCTTGTATTCGGCACATAGCAATGCTCACCAAACTAAATGTTGCCATTGCTGTTACCATGAATTATCCGCTTCAATGCAATACTTCCTCTTCTTCATGTCGGGTTAGCTAGGAAGGCGACTGTTTTGAGAGCCAAACAGTACAGGATGTACTACAGCTTCTAGTCAACCGACGCCTACTTCTATTGTTAGGCTTTTGTGCATTCCGTCGTGCTATTGTGTTGTCTATCGAAGAGCGGGAGAACAGAATAATTCCGCTGTTAGAGTTATTGTTAGAAAGAGCTCTCAACTATCGTCCCTCTTTCCAGTTCAGACAGTCTGTAAGAACAAACACCACATTACGGTAGCTACGATGGATGCCACAGGCCAGATTGGGAGACATCTATCTCTTTGATATGCTTCCTTCTTCTCCGTGACAACACGCATTGCTTACCTTGATAACATTCAACACCCCATTGTCTATTAGCCTTCTATTCGAGCATTCATAGGCTGCTGAGTACATCCCAGCTCCAGCATGCGTTTCCCATCCACGGCGCTTCTTGTGTCGATGATACTCGCAATATCAGCACAAGCCCGATTTGTCATGTACGCAGACGAATGGCACCCAACGCGTCCAACCAACCCACGAGATCGAGCTGGCATCGACCATGTCATCCTCGCCTTTGCCCCAGCCAACGCAACAGCTACGTTCCAGCCCAAAGTTCCCATACACACCATCCGCACCGAATTCCCCAACGCAAAGGTCATGATTGCTGTTGGCGGCTGGGGCGATACGGTTGGTTTCTGTCAAGCCACGAAGTCCGACGCATCGATGCTCGCGTTTGCCGCTGATGTTGCTACTATGCTTGCCAGGACTGGAGCGGATGGAGTCGGTGAGTACACTATCTACCTACATTGGTTACTTGTCGATGCTCACAACAGAAGACATCGATTGGGAATATCCTGGCGGCAACGGGGCGGACTACAAACAAGTGGCGAACTGGGATCAGACTTACCAGATCGCCGCGTTCCCTAAGTTACTGGCTGCCATCCGTGCTGCTATTGGGAAGAAACTGCTTTCGATTGCTGTCCCAGGAAAAGAAGGCCAGTCATCATATACATGTTTGAAGCAAGTCAACTGACAAGTAGTAGTTGACATGCTTGGATACACTCGAACAACCGGACCTCAGATCTGGCCATCCGTCGATTTCATCAACGTAAGTGACATCATCTCTCTCACACCAACCTTGCAGAGATCATACTAACTCTCCCAGGTGATGAGCTACGACCTAATGAACCGCCGAGACACAGTAACCAAACACCACAGCTCCGCCATCGATGCCGAAAACAGCATAAAAGACTACCTCGCCATGGGCGCACCCCCCTCCAAGCTCAACCTCGGCTTCGCATACTACGCCAAATACTTCACCACGCAAGGCGACTGCAGTGGCAGCCCCCTCAACTGCCCCATCGTCCTTGCGGAAGATGCCCAAGGCAAAGACACGCTCACCTCTGGCGCCTGGACCTTTGAGAGATCTCGCATGCGCCTCGTTGATGCCTCCTCTCTGACCGTATCGCAAGACGGCACCTGCGGTCCAGAAAAGGGAACCAAGTGTGAGACAGGCTGTTGTTCTCAACACGGCCACTGCGGTACTTCGCCTGAACACTGCAACGGCGCCTGCCAACACGCATTTGGATCTGGATGTACGGACGCCGATGTAGCAGCTTCATGGCAGCTCGCAGCCAAAGACGGTATTACTGACGAAGTAGCCGGCGGACAATACTACTTCGATGCCACAAACCGCCTTTTCTGGACATGGGATACGCCCGAACTCATCACAAGGAAATTCGACAACATCGTCCGCAAGTACAAGCTCGGTGGCGTCATGGCGTGGAGTCTAGGTGAAGACAGCGCGGACTGGAGTCATATTCGACAGATGGCGAGGGAGGTTGCCAAAGATGGACTCGGTTTGACGACTACCAGCGACTCCAACATGCCAGTCGATGGCTCCATGTACGACGAGATCACTCATTATTGCTGTCAAAACATTTCCCATCCAGCGAATACCGTGACCTACCCACCAGCATTCATAGTTCCAACCTCTTGGCATACTATTAAGGTAGATTGCGGGGATGGAAAAGGGTTGGTTCACTGTCCATGTAACACCCCCGACTGTTACTGGGGGCCACTTCATCCGGACCACTACGATGGCAATGACTCAATTCAGCCCATGTTGAACGACGACGACCTTGTTGAGATGCAAGACACCTCAGACGCCCTCCAAGCGATGCCAACGGAGCCCAGCCCAACCGCACTCAAGACCCCGTCGCCAGGTTACCGTGTCTTTTTGGAATGCATGGGTGATGATGGTTGGCTGATAAGCTGTCCGGACTGGGTCACCTCGAAGGTTCTTCATGGAACCGCAACTGAGCCCACACCCGCCGCACTCGAGACCCCGTCGCCGACTGACGGTATCTTTATAGAATGCCTGGGTGAGCATGGTGGCCTAACTCGCTGTCCACAATACTACACAGACGCCGTCCTATCCAAACATTCCGAACTCCACATACCTGCACTCCAGACTCCGTGGCCAACACCCTTGCCGACTAACGGTACTTTTATCGAATGCATGGGCGAGAACGGTGGCTTGACTTCGTGTGGGGTATCGGCCACGCAAGACTTTCTATCGAATCTGAGAGACTACAACGCACTGCATACTCCCACGCCGACTCCCTCGCCAACTGACGGTGTTTCTATCAAATGCGTGGATGATTATGGTGGCATGATGCGGTGTCCACAATCGTTCACGGACAACTTCCTATACAGACATTCTTCACTCGAAGCAGCCGGACTCGAGACTCCGTGGCCAATGCATCAAAACCCTACTGCTGTTATGACCGCGGCCGCTATCGAGACTGGATTCACTACGCATATCGGTATACCCCAGGCGCAGGAGAGTGGGCTTCCTGGTGGATCCTACGGTATGCGTAGGCGTGAGAGGGCACAGAAAGCGTGAGAAGACTGTTTCGCAGGAGTTTTTCTGGACGCACAGCAATTTTTCGTTTTGTTTTTATTGTTGCTTGAGTTTGCAAGATGGAATGCTTTGGGCAATCGATGGCGCGTTGTTTCTCTGTCTGTAAGGTAGCGTGCGATTAATGAATTACTACTCTTTGCTACCTCGACACAAATGCCGTGGTTTCCCTGATACTAATACAATCATCCTATGTGCTACGTTATCCAAGCAATGCCCTAGAGATGTTCGGAGCATTTCCGACCCCTTCTCAAGTTCCATCAGGGGGAGCCTATGCCTTGACGGTACTCCTCTTCATACCCTTCCTTGCGTTCTTCTCCCGCTCCTTTTCAAGGAACTTGCGCTGCTCGTCGGCGCTGAGACGACCCAGCTTGGCGTCTCTCATCTCCTTCTTTGCCTTGTCAAGCGAAAGCTTCCTCTCCTCGGCCTTCTCCTCATCATCGGCCTTCTTGATCTTAGCGATCTGCTCGTCACGGGTCTGCTTGATGCGGCGGAGGGCTTCGGGGCGGAAGTGGCCATGGGAGGCAAGCTGGTCAGTAAGACGGAGGAAGTATTGGAAGATGGGCATGGTGGTGGAGTAGTCCGAGGCGAATTTCAGGGAGAGGCTGAGGCGCTTCTTAGGCTTGGTTTCGTCGAGACTGGAAGATATTAGTCTGGTTCAGAGAAAGAGAGGTCTGGATGGTGGTTGTCTTACGTCCTGGGCGCGTTGATGGGCTGGTCGCTGACGATGATGGCCTCGAAGCTGTCTCCGGCGTCGTTGACGGCCTTGATGAGCTCGGGTGTGAGCAGCATATCAGTAACCTCAGCGCTCTCGCTCATGACAGTGACCCAGACAGGCAACTTGGCGTGGTCGCGCGTGCTGGTCAGAGACAAGTCGTAGCGCTCGTCGCGCATGCGCTTCATGATATCCTTGTGTACAATGGCGAAGACGAAGCCGTCAAAGGAGCTGTTGGTGACCTTCTTCGCGTCGGCCTGACCGTACGAAGGAGCGAACTTAGTCTCCCGGCCATCGAAAACGTAAGCCGTAGCCTCGAGACGCTCGCTGGGTGCAGGGAAACTTTCGAAGAACAAGGGGAGCACGCTCTCTCCCAGCCACATGAAGGGGTTGGCGCGCTTGTAGAAGCTCAGCCTGAAGTCGACGAAGGCAACGTTCTGGCGTCCAGTCGCGTAGGTCTGGTACTCGTCGGCCTTCTTCTCCTTGAGCATGCTGTCCACATCTGCAACCGCTCCCTCTCCGTCTGGGCGTGTGTAGCCGACTTGGGCGAACTCTTGGGTCAGGACAGGGGCGTGGGCCTTCATCCATGCCTTGGCCTTGCTGCGGTTGCGCTTGGTGCCCCAGAGGTGGACCGCGATGAGAGCAACGAGGAATGGCAGGATGTACATCTCCAGCTTGAAGTCGTCCATGGTGGTGCGCTCCCACACCCGGTACCATGCTGTATAGGGCCGGTTGTCGCCGAGGCCTGTAGGAGCGGCTTGCGCTGCACCGGCACCGGTCGTGAAGGACGAGATGGCAGCGGGTGTGGGCTCAGGAGCACCTGCGTAGTCGGCGAAGTCTGGTTGGTGTCAGCGCAAGCCATTGGGTTTGCATATTGATAGCCTCTACGATCTCCGATGGTATCCTCACGATAACCTCGCGACTCCATCTCTGTCAAGAATTCGAGCGTCGCAAAGGGGTCTCGTGTGGTCCCGCATCCCAGGCTGGTGGCCTCGCGACTGCGCATGCAATGTAGTGTACGTACCATCATCACCAACAACTGGAGCCTGGACAGGCTTTTGGCCACCGAAGAGACCCTTGACGAAGTCTGCCATTGCGTCGATGCGTCACAATGAAGGAGCGTACGTGGAGATTTGGCGGCGCGGGAGGTGGTTTGGAGGATCTCGGCTCGGTTCCACGTTCCAGGCACTGACCTCATTTTACAGCGACTAGCACGCATGTGGAGGGGCATCTGGGCAAGCTACCCCAGAGCTCCTCGTGGTTCTGCGCTTGAGCCTGCTATAGCTTATTGTATAATTTTGGTCGATAATTTTGGTATTAGACACTTGGTGGTATGCCAGATTGCTCATCTGAAGTGGTTGTGTCCGTCATCGACACTGGTAAGAACGGCACTCTGCCATGACTATGGAAGCACGGTGTAAAGCCCATTGCATTCTGAGTAACTAAATGGACTGCTGCCTTACACGCATCCGCAAGGTCGACCCAAAGACGTATCCTCACATGTCAGCCTAGTTATCGTTGGAAGTGACAGCCATTCGTGTTTTGTCAGCCACGTAATAGCTGGGTGGCAGCATCACTTCAGAATAAGTGAACACAGCGCAAACAGACAATGAAGATTGTTCTATGCGGTCTGACAAAGGAGATGTTGTAATGGGTAAAGGCTTGTCGATTGATTGTATATTGATGCAGAAGACTCATACTGGTCCCACCCATCTGGATATCATGCTCGAAGTGCGGAGTCTAGTTCTTGCCGAACCAGGTCTTGTGTCCCTGAATATAGTTAGTAATGATGTTGCACTCAATTCAACCCAATGCAAACTTACAAGGACGAGACGGCCCATCATGTACATGCTGGCGCCGAGGCTGCTGAACATGATGACCTTGAAGCCGGGAACCAGGTACTTTCCGCGGGCCTAAGAAGCAATCTGTCAGCATTTATCCCTGTGTTTTCTTACTTCCACACGCCATGTGTCCAGCACCGCATGTGCATCATCTCTAACCACATCATGCCCCAATCAACCCTCCTCTTGTATATACAGTACGCACCTTCTCCCAGGTCCTCAGTCCGTCGTGCTTCTGGAACTCGCGTTGCCAGTAAGGCACCTTGTTCTCGCGCATAACCCAGCTGCCGACTGTCAGTATCCAGCTCTGTGCGGAAAGGCGGAGGAGCGCTGGAGGCCGTTGCGGTGCTCCCTCAGGCCCGCGGCCAGGCCCAGAGCTCGAAGATGGACGTACCCAGGCATTTTGAAGAGTGTAGAGGAGTATTGCGCGGCGTGCGGGGGCAATTGGTGGTTTCGTGGATTGGTCGATTTGGTGATGTCGCGAGGTCGAATGATCCGCCGGCGAAAGCAACTCGGTCGCCAAGGCCCTTGGCCGCTTTGGGCGCAACAACTTTCCGCATCTCCAGTTCACGCACGGCGTTTGCGACGCCAATGGACTGATTTCGCCCTTCGCCCCTGTCTTGTTGATGCCACCGGCTCTGGACAGGCTCCTCGCCAGCCCGTCAGCCCTGCGACTCCTGCGCTCCATCGTCAATGCCCCTGAACTCCCCGCAGCCTGTTCCGCGGCGACAAAATGCTGCCCGCCAGTAGCACGCCGCCGCAACTACTCGACCAAGCCGAAACCTCCACCCAAGCTGAAATGGAGGCGATTGAAGGATGCAAGCGAAGACGCGGCAGTCCGAGACCACGTGCTCAAGGCGCTCCAGCGTGACGAGTCCAGTGATACCCTCGCACCGACCGTAGATATCTTCGAAAACGACACCGTACGTGTGGCCCAAAGGGAAGACGATCCTGCACAACTCGCCGCTATCCTTGCAAGCGAAGAGAGACTGCACGGGAAAAAGGGTGTCCGCAATGTCTGGCAGAACTTCCGCCATCGAGGGTACCGCCTACCCACTGAAGACACACCCGATGCCGCATTTCTATGGGGAACTTTTGTGAAGAACCACCTGATCACGGACAAGGCGATAGCGCACGCTGAGGAGCTGTTTCACGAAACAGGCAAGACATACCCTGGTCTGTACTATCTGGTCATGAGCCACTGGCTTCCGAGGAGAACAGCGCCCGCGTTGAGGTATCACTACGCGATTCAAAGGAGCCTGAAGCCTCAGCGGCTTCCCCTACGGCAGCTGGCACATCAGGGACGATCGACTTACAAGCACGGCGCATACGAAGCATTGATGGAGATATACGAGCACAGCAATGAGCGGGACCTCTACGACGAGGTGGTGCCAGCCCTCATTGAGAAGGATGACATAACTGCGGCACGCCGATGGCATGCACTTTGCACTCTTCGCAACGATATGCCGTCCGAGTCTGTCGCGTCACATCCTCTTGTCCAGCTGTTTACCGTTGAGGATTCAGCTCGTGAGGTCTACTTTGACACGAAAGGGTCGACGAAGAAGTGGAGGCGGGGTGCAGCAAAATACAATGAGAACCTTCTGCGCCGCTTGGAAGGCCCCGATACCGCGCCCGTCCGATTCGAAGACTCGTTCGTCGCCCGCATGTTCGCAACGCGTACCTTTCCACCGGCTTCGATCATACAAGGTCTCTCTATGGTGGGCATCAACGAGATTGGGCCTCAAGCTGTGCTCACCATGGCCCTGCAAACTCAACCGGTAGAGGAGCTACCTATGAGGTTCGAAGAGCTCAGGCAAGCAGGCATTGCCCTGCAGGGCTGCGTCTTCTCTTTGGCACTGGAGACGTTCGCAATGGAGCAGAAGTGGCAACTGGTGCGCAGTATGCTGCAAAGCGACCAGCATCCGGACGTCTTTGGCGACGTGGAAATGCAACGTAAGCTGCTCGAGCACTATCTTGACAACGACGATTATGCGCAGGTCCAGCGCACACTTGCCATTCTAACGCTCTTCCACAATGACTCTAGTCAAGAGTCTTGGAACCTGCTCTTGCAAGTCTACATTAAACGCTCTGGACAGAAGCATGTCGTGGAAGTGCTCCAAGACATGCGTGCTCGCGGCATCATGGTGTCGCCTGAATCAATCATGGCCATTCGCAGCCTATTGCGTCGTCGGCAACGAGGACACAAACCTGTCAGTGACCGATTCGATGACTTGCGTTTCGTCGCGCGTGTATTCGTCATGATCCTAGAGAACGGTCTAGCCCCCATCTCTCCACTCCAATGGCGCGAGATCATACGCAGATTTGGCATGGTTGGAAGGTTTAGGGAGCTTAGAAGACTTTTACTCTGGCTTCTTTGCTGGTATGCACCGAGAAGCAGCTACCAGTTCAGCACGTTGCCAAAATCACCATTTCTCGAACCGGCAACAGCGAAACTGCGTGCTGCATACCCTGAACGATTCCACTACTTCCACTTCCCAACGACGGTCACACAGCGCGAAAATCTGTTGCATCCCGTTCGACAGCTGTTCGCTCCCTCCCTTCAGCAAAGTCTCATCATCTGGGGCTTCAAAGCTGGACTCCTGCCAAATGCACCTCTTGAACAGTTCATGCTGGGCCCCACGCTGGCCAAGAAGCATTATCGTCGTCGGTTGCTGCAGCGCCGGATCCTACGCCGATTAGAGTGGAGCACAGGTCTACGAATTGTTGTACATCTACGAGATCTCGGCGTCTTTGTTCACTACCATACCGTGCTCAAGGCCTTACAGTCGCAGTTCATAAATATGTTCGGCCATGGTCGCTCCAAAAAGAGAGAAAACAGAGTGGTGGAGAGGTCCAACACGCTCCCGTATGCGCGATACGTTCACGAGGTCAACAAGATATGGGGCAGTCCGCTACTGCGGGAGCCTCAACTCTTCGGCAAGGGCATGGTGCACGATCACATGTGGCACCCACGTATGAGACGGAACATCAAGCGCAGAGCTTCCATCAGCCTTGGTGAGATTCTGGGCCCGAACTGGAGGGATCGCGACCAGGAAAGCCACACGGCTGTTAAGCAAGACGAGAATGCGGCCATAGCTCAGCTGCAGAAGCACTTCAAGAAGCAGGCCAAAGCCATCGAACCCGGTTCTGAGCCGCAGCCTCCTTCCACCATAGCCGTCCCGCGCGTCCAAATCGATAACGGTAAGAAGTGATGAAGCAGCCCATACACGGACGACTAAAGATAACGACCCGAAGGCCTGGCCTCGCTATGATACGTAAAGAATATACACCATAACCTTTTTCGCTTACTCCAATCCCGGATCTGGATGAGTGCTTTTGGTGATTCGCTATTTCTTGCTTACACACTTTCTCAGCCGTTCAAGGAGTGAAAATCCAGACCTCCGAAGAGACAGGTGCGGGCGCGTGGAGCCGTCGCTTGGTTGAAAGCGGGAAGTCGCGCTAGTGTGCGCCTCATGAAGGCTTGTCCTGCAGGACCTCATCTTCACACTTTCGCACCTCCAATCTCGACATACAATCGCTTGCGCACACCACTGACTGAACAGATACCCATGGATTACTCACCGCTACTTTCCATGCAAGCTCATGGCTATATCTGACCACGCGAAAGATGCTGCTCGTGCGGCCAGAAGCAGGCCTTCCATCCCGCTTTCTCAGCCTTCCCAGCTTCTCAGCTCTCAAGCTCATGAAGTGGCTGATTCTCGCCTGTTTTTCGTTCGCTAATTTGATCGGCACCCTGTGTCATGTCATGACCATTCGCCAGGCCCAAGGCCGAGGACAAAGTCGGCCCCCGACATGTCATCAAGCGCTCTGCTGGCGCGTGGTCTTTTCTCAAACCTGTCTTCTGCTTCAACTCTCCATGTGAGATCCTGGAAACATGCGCCAAGGCTGAAAACTCTGTTATGCAATGTAACATTGTTCTCCTGCAGCCAGGCCGGACGATCAGCCACAAGGCTATGCGGGCTTTCGCGAACCTTTGCTACTTGTCCTTGTACTGCAGGATGAGTACCTACGCGCCGTGCGCGAACACCCTGCACCCGCATGCTTCCACCGAACAGCATCGCCTACCCAATCATATCTTGGACGGCAATTGCGTTGCTACCTTGCATTGCTCAATTCTACCGGAATGGTGTTTGACGCTTTCGGAGACATGCGCTCGCTTCAGTCACCCTGTAGAAGGGTGATCTCTGATGTGCTGAGCGTCTGACCTAGGAGTCTGATTCGGCCTCGCGGGTATAAAGGCCTTCAGGTTGCTCTAGCCAGCCGAAACGCTTGCTCTAAGTTAAGTACCTATCATCGGACATACTTTGAATTGGATCGCAATGAGTTCCACCGATAACGACTTGTCAGAGCAACAAAAGGCCAGGACGGCCAAGAGGCGGGGCAAGGATAGCAATGATGTCCATGCAACAGGCAACTCATCGTGGAAACATCGTCGTGAATACAGCACTTTCAGCTATCAACCTTTGCCACGCAGCCAGGGGACCATTCGGATCCTTGAGCTGTTCTCTAGCGAAACTTCGGCCGCTGGAGTTCTTTGTGCATTGATCACACCAGGCGAGAACGAGAGACACCAATATCCTTATGAGGCCTTGTCATGGTGCTGGGGCACAGCAGGCAAGTCTGCTGAGATCAGGATTCAACGCAATCGCAAGACATACATCAAGAAAGTGAGCCCGAACCTCGTGGCTGCGATGAAGGCACTACGCTACCCGGACCGTAGCCGCTATCTATGGATTGATATGGTTTGCATCGATCAAGATGAGTAGGTTGATCAATGATACCCAACCCATACTCGCTGACTTCTGTAGCCTGGGTGAGAAGAATCATCAAGTCGAGATGATGAACATAATTTACGGCAACGCTTCGCGAGTTTGCATTTGGCTTGGGGACGCGACAGAGTCCAGTCGCATGGCACTCCGCTTCATCAAGAAAGAAGTCTCACATTTACGAAGCTTCGACACCCTCTGTGACAGTCAGGACGCGAGCAAGAAATGGGTTGCGTTACTAGATCTCATGCAAAGACCATGGTTTTCACGACGGTGGGTTGTTCAAGAATTGGCCTTGGCAAAGAACCCCATCATCTACTGCGGCAGAGATAGGATCTCTTGGAAGAAATTCGCTGTTGCCGTGGAACTCTTCGTGGAGGTGGAAACAGCGACGCATCGCCTGTCCGAGGTTATGAAGAAAGATCGACAGTACCAGTATATTCCCAGTGTTTTCGACTATGTCTCTGCCCTCGGCGCCAGCCTGCTTGTTGATGCGACAGAGCGCCTGTTTCGCGACTACAAGAAATCCGAAGTAGCGCAACCCATGCCAGACCCTCAGGCACAGATTGAGTCAATCACCGATTCGGATAGCGAAGCCTCTTTGTACACAAGCGACAGCGAAGACGACTACACATCTGCACCCCTTCATTCAAGCCATGCAGAGGACGTATCTGGTAGCTCGAGACATCGTATACAGCCTCTTCTGAGTCTGGAATATCTGGTATCAAGCTTGACCATTTTCGATACCACCGTTCCTCACGACACAATTTATGCACTGCTTGCGATTGCGAAGGACACCACGCCACGAGCTGTAAGCGTACATGCTGCTGTTACATCTAGAAGCGCTCAAGCAGGCCTTGAGGTTTACACGCAGCGCAAGAGCTACAACGTCGACTACAAACTGCCGTACGTAGATGTATGCAAGGACTTCATTCAGTTCTCGATCGACCGTTCCCTTCACGGCAACGCAAGTCGCGCGTTGGATGTCATTTGCCGCCCATGGGCCATCGAAGAGAGGAAGCTACAAAAGATCCGGGATACCAAGGAGAAGGAGAAGGAGAAAGAACAAAGAAGGAAGAAGAGAGAGAAGGATCTTGAAGCACGCCGCAAGGGACGCGAGAGCCGTAAAGCACTTTCCAATCATGCCGAGTTTCCTGACCCACCTGAGGGAGCACCCGTTCAGAACGTATCTACGATTGCTGAATCGGGGGATATGGCATTACCTTCCTGGGTACCACAACTCTCGAATGCACCATACGCGATGGCCCAACGGCCGGGGTTGACCGGCCCCAAGATGAGTCGCATTAACGCCGATCCTTTGGTTGGACTTCCAAGTTCCTACTCTGCTGCTGAGACCAAGGGCGTCGACATCAAGGCGCTCCGATTTCGTAAGCGACTGAAACCTGGACACTTTGACGAGGGTCGATTCAGCATGTACGTCCGCGGCTTCAAGCTGGATGTTATAAAGGATGTCACCCAGGTATCTCGCAACGGGCACATTCCCGCAGAATGGCTTGATCTTGCAGAGTGGGAAGACGGAAAAGGGCTCCCACCTGATATGTTTTGGCGGACGCTCGTCGCCAACCGGGGCAAAGATGGCAAGAACCCACCCGTATACTACTCGCGGGCTTGCCAAGAATCGTTCAGAAAAGGTGGTCTTGAGAGCGGCGCAATCGACACTACCGCGCTCATCGAGTACGAACGCAACTCTGTCGTCGCCCAGTTCTGTCGCCGCGTGCAGGCCGTCACGTGGAACCGTGCTCTTGTGCGTACCGATCTCGGGACACTAGGGCTAGTCGGGAAAGATGTCCAAAAAGGCGACTTGGTCTGCATACTCTACGGATGCAGTGTTCCGGTCGTGCTGCGGGAATGTCCCAAGAAGACTGAAGAAGTATTCGAGGAAGAGATGGAACAAGAACTGGTCGACGTCAAGAATACCGTCGTGCAGAAATTAAGGCAATACATCTTGCGTAAACGACGACATGAAGTTTGGAAAGACAAAGAGATGGCAAAGTTATGCCGAGCATGGCTGAGAACCACCGACTACATACGTAAGCTCGGCATTGATTCTACCAAAATATCAGCCAAGAACAAGCAAGATGCCGAGAGCATCCTTCTACACACCTTGAAGCAATTCACATCCGACTTCAAATCCTGGTTATGCGAAGAGCGCAAGAAGGCATGGCCCGCATTTAAGACCCACATTGATGAGGAGGTGAATGAGCGAAAGGAGTACCCTAGAAGGAAAGTGAATAGGCCAGGTAAAAAGGAGACGGACGAAAACCTGCGAAGACAGACATCACGAAAACGGAGACAATCACTGGGTGCTGCGACCATGCTGGGGAGAATTACAGAAGCACCAACAACGACTGAAGCAACTGCTCCTACCGCTTCTAAGGATGGGCCTGCACCCATCAAGAAAAAGAAACCATTGGTGGACTGGTGGGAGTTCGAACTGGCACTTGTTGCTGGTAGGCGCTGGTTGCAAATGGCCAGAAAAGCGAAGGCCGATCGGATCGCCTTTGCACTGCGGAAAAGTGAAGAGGAATGGAAAGAGGTACAGCGTGGCGAGTACAAGGGAGTCAGAGAACTCGTTGAAAGAGAAAACAGAAAGAAGCTCGAGAGACAGGCCGACGAACACCGATACTGCGTAATGAGTGAACACGGCACCCACAACGGAGGTGTGGCTGGCGGCCACGAGATAGCGAATAAGGGACCTGGAAGAAACGACTCACCGAGAAGAGGCAATGAGGAGCATCGGAACGGGTACGGCGATGAAGACTCTCAGAACCATGGAGACAACGATGAGCCTTACAGCACTGAGGAATACGAAAGGACAGAGAGGGAGACTGATCCATACGACGGTGACCACAAGACAAAAGAGGAACCCCACAGAAACGGAGAGACGCCACAAACAAGTTCGAGCTTGCCACATTCGATTCCCATTACTGGACATGCGCCGCCCGTTATGCCAGAGACCATTCGGCCTAGCTGGCGCCGTCCCACAAACAGAACGAGATTGACAAAGAGCCAGGCGGTCGACTACAAGAGCAAAGTTATGGAGAACCTACGTGAGAGACTCGGCGAGGAAGGCTACTTTTCTTACACGCTTCTTGGCGAGTGTTACATTCATGGGATGATGGACGGTGAGGCGATGCAGCACCAGAATGAGGGTGCTGAAGGGGTGATTCCTTCGATGGTGTTTGAGATTCGCTGATGACCGGGTTTTGAGTTTGTGTAGCGAACGTAGTTTTGTGTTGTCTCAAAGCTCGGTACAAATGCACCAAACTTAAGAGCGCGACAGGGTGATTAGATGGTTTGCCCGAATTATGAGATATCACGTCCTCACGTGCATGCGCGTGGTCACTAGCTTAAACGGGCCACGTTTCAGGAGCCTGACGCGTCAGCCCCACTTCCGCGTTGCCGAGGAAATGCCAGGTCGTTTTCACACCTTACACCTCAATTCCCCTCAATTGAACTAGAAACTTTACAAGAACTCATCAAAACCATGGTTGCCCACTGCGCGCTGTGCCCTGACGAAGGCAAGCTCAGATGTGTCGCCTGCAACGGAATTCAGTACTGCTCCAAGCGGTGCCAAAAAGCCGATTGGAAAGTCCACAAGCTCATCTGCAAGTCCTTCAGCGAGCACATGAACAATCGTCCCAGTCAAAAGCACTACAGCATCATCGTCTTCCCGAAAGATGAAGAAGCGCCTCGCTTCGAGTGGACTCTGTTCGAGCCTGGCACCTACAACGCCAAGATTCCGTCGCCCAAGAAAGCCTACGTGCAAGAGCTGGGCTTCGAGTTTTATGGGGTAAACTGCAATAATCGCAACAACCCCATAGGATACTTCGAGGAAGATAGTACCGATTACACGACTAAGAGGCACATCGCTGGAAAGCATCTCGGGTTGCTCTTTACCAGAAACTTGGGATCTTTCGAAGAGCCTTTACCGGAGGATATACCAATCAGTCAGTCAATGCCTTTGTATGGATTGCACGGGAAACATGCTGATTTTATACAGACAAGAGCTTGATGGACATTGATCCTGAGCTTGCGCGACTCCACGGCAAAGGTCACGTCCTTGCCTGGGGCTGCCATTGTCCCGAAGACAGACGCAAAACCTCCGATCTCAACTGCACACCGGCAGACTTCCGCCATGCCGTCGACGCCCTGAGAAAGAACCACTACAAAGACAGCCTGCGGGCGAAGGAGGTCATATCAAGGAAGACTGGTGGTGTCCTTGCCGTGCGCCTCACTTGTGTGGGCGACAAGCTATTCTTCGGCCATCCTACATATGAGAGCCAGATCGAGCCGCGCTCCATCCTGAGCAAAGATTCTCAGGTCCCCTGCCCAGTCGCCGACAAAGTTGGCATTCCACTCATCATTCGGAAAGAGCCTCCCGCGCTCTCCTGGCGCGACCGCGACGTCGAGTCCCGTCGGGAGAACCACAACGCGGCGATGCTCAACCCGCCTACCCAGAAGACTAAGACCGGTACTCTGATCATTGCTCGCAAGGACGGGAAGCCGCTCTTGCCCACGCACCTCTTTTGCCTCATCATCTACACTGGCGAGAGGCTGCAAGACCCGAAGTTCGGTGAGGACGGCCACCGTCTGCCGAGTATGATGTTGCAGAGCCGTTTGAACCTGGTGTCTCCGGAGAACTTTGAGGAGTACTACAACAACGAGTGGCATCGTTTGAAGCTTAGTGAGAGGTTTGTTCCTTCGCCTTATCAGATGTATGATGATTATGATGGCGAGATTCATCCTATCAATATGAGATAGGTTGGGATAGAAAGGGGAGAAGCATTGGCTTGTGAATGATATGGAGCGATGTAGGAATGTACGAATGAATGTAGTCTGTTGTATTCAGCTAGATAGCGTCACTTAAAACAACTTACATTACGCAGCTACAGTTCGCTCTTATGTGACACCTCCCTACTAACACCGTCACCCTCTTTCCCGCCACCACTTCCGGCTAGCCTGACAGCAATGGTAGGCTTATGTACCAGCGTCTGCAGCACAACACAATACCTCTCTGTCAACTTGCCCAGCTTCTCGATTTCTTCCTCGGTGACCTCCCTGCCGTCTTCCCTCTCTCCAAACTTGACCGCAAACTCCAACCGTATGCCTGTTATACCAACAGGGGCTGTCCTGTCTACGCCCAGTGTGCCTTTGAAGTCCAAGTCTCCTTCTGCAGTGACGATGCCGGAGGCGATGGGTATGCCGAGAGCGGTAGCGACGGCTTTCAGGGTGACGCCTGAGCAGGCTACGAGGGCATCGAGGAGCATGTCTAATACACGACGCATAAAGTCAGCACGTGTATCAAATGTATTTCCGATAGAGACATTGCTTACCACCAGAGCATAGTTCGCCAGATATCGCTGGGTCGTCGCCGCCAGCCTTTTGGTGCAGGCCGGCTACCCTATGCGCTTCCTTCACAGCTGAGCTATCGGAAAGCTTGCATGTTATCGAATGGTCGTCGAGCGAGCCCGTGGATTTGAGGGTGACAACGGCGGAAGAAGGGTCGCTGCGGTACCCGTCTTTGATCGGGGCTTGCTTTTGGCGGAGCGCTTGAGCGGCGGACATGTTTGCGATGAATTGAACGCGAGGATGGTTTGTGAAGAGACGCGAACTCCTGTACTTAGTTCAAGTATAAACTTTTATAAAGACGCCTAGAACTTTCTCAGAAGTTCAAAAGTCGTCGTTAGCCTATACATCATTATGAAGTGTACCCCGCAAGGGGCAGGTGGGAGCTCCGCAGCCCCGCTTCGCCGCTGGTGCGAACGATCAAACAGGAAGGAGGGGTGGCTCGGTCGAGATGCTGCCCAGAGATGTCATGTCGAGAGCTTAGAATCGTATGCTGATGAACACGTTTGAGATGGGAGAGATGAAGTATAGCAGGTGCAACCTGCGCGAGTTGGATTTGCCATAGACACGTGCAGACACGCGATAAGATAAGCGTCAGGGGTCCAGCGCGTGTACGGCACGCGTCTTCGCTCCACTTCAACGTCATTTCTCGTCACGTCTCTTGCCTTCGTACAATCCACATTGCGATCGCGTCCTTTCTTCTGCGTACACTGACCTCCGATCCTCGAGCATGAATTAGTGCAAGCCACGCTTCTCTGCTACAAGCTCCTCACGGTTTGCCATTGGTCCAAGGCTACAGCTTTCGATGCTGAGTGCATACGAGTTAACCGTAAGCCTTTTCGCCTGTCTTAAAAACTCGCAGGGATCTGGTAGGCGCGCGGTTCACAGCATACAAAGCCCAACCGAGAGACCGCTACGGTGGCGTATACGTGTAACAAACTAACTGGAAAGCGTGTGGTTGTGGTATGGCGGTGGAGAGACACCAGCGGACGATCTAACATGCTACTCAGCTCAGTCTCACAATACCCATTCACGCGTCTCCATTCTTAGCGCTGCGATCTCCACGTCGACATACTAGCTATCCTACTCCCGCGCAACCGCACTTGCACCTACGCGCTCAGCATGGCTCGCTTTGCCGACCTTCCTACTGAGCTCGAGCTCCAAATCGCGTCACATCTCTCCTCCAAAGATCTCGCCTCCTATGCGCCCATCGGCAAAGTCCAAGCCAAGGTCGCACGCGAGCATCTCTACTCCGCACCGACGATCGAACAACCAGATGAGGGGCATCGGCTAATGATGTTGTTACGCACATTGTTCGCTCGCCCTGAGCTCCTCAAAAGCATACACTCGATATCGCTCGCTATCGTGAACTGTACTATGCCTTTCGGCCTCGGTTCGACAGCAGAAGAGGCCGAAGCTTCACGCATCGATTGGGATACGACTAACAATGCCCGTTTTGTTGAGGTCGATAGAATTGTCGACAGCCCTCATTGCTTGGGATACAAGGACGTGTATGAGCAGCTCGTCTTCCGCCTCAAAAAAGTCATGGGCAATCATGACTCCGAGCGGTATTGGTTTTCGCATGTCGTGAGATGGCGCTCTGCAGCTCTCTACGGCGGATTACTTCGAATTCTGCCTAATCTAGAGCGACTGGAGCTTGAATGCTACACCAAGCTACATGAAGGAATATACCTACCTACAGATGAGACAGATCGCAAGTTTTCGGAAACTCTCTTTCCTTCCACGCCGTGGCGCATAGGCCCGGTGCGTTTCCCGATGTTGAGCGAGCTACATGTCAAGTGCGGACTCTTGATCAATAGCACTCACCTCTTACCCAATTTGAGGACCTTGAAAATTGGTGAGCTCGCAGATCTCCCCCATACTGAGTTTCCGTCCCTAGTACGCATGCACCATTTGTCTGCGTGCGCTTCCTTGTTGCAAGGAGAAAGCCCGGATTGGGCTATACCTCGACTATATCACCTTGATGATGATATGTTAGAAGTACAAAACTTCAATTTACGCTTCCGGGCACGGACCGTCCACAGTATCGGCGGTGGTCCCGTCCGATATGGCGGTATTCTTTCTCTTGCTGGGATATTGGAACGTCTACATGTGTCTAGATCAGTTCCAGAGACGCTATCCGTAGAACCCATCGACCATAGCGAACTCCTACACTGTCGGTTCCCAGTTAATCCTGCTGGGTTGGTATCGGACTTTAGCATGTTCACCCGCCTACGAGAGCTTACTTTGCCCTTTCAACCATCTACAGATACTTTGGAGGGTAAACTACCTCCAAGTTTGGAAAAGCTTAGTCTACTGTGCACCAGCGCAGTTTCTCCCACATCGGTCGAAGATGCCCTTCAACACCGGCTCAAATACGGCATCTTCTCGTGTCTCGATCTTTCCCTCTTGTTTGAGGCTGACGTGGACATCAATCACGAAGCCTGGGATACGTTCAAGAAAGCTGGCGTGGCTGTGTATATCTGGGTGCGGCAGTCTGTGCTTCTGCATGAAATGCCTGTGTAGGCCAGAGGGCTTGGGGAACGGCATTGACATTTCTGGATGAATCGACAGAAAACTTGGCAGATTGTATGAGGTGCGATCATATTGATGCAAATCTGGACATGGATGTGGGACCATGGCGGACGCTAAGAGACTAAGGGAGTAAGCACGTCTTCACGTGATCTGGGGCTGCTCTCCCTCTGGGCAGCACCTTCCAAGCCTACGCCAGCAACAGCTCCGACTCAGTGAGTGGCAATTTGGTCTGAATCTTCGCGTCTTTGAACATCGCTGTCATTGCAGCTCTCAGTTACTGTACGACAGACTGCAGTGCCTGCAGGCAAGTCCCTGGTTGCGATCTTTCACCTCCGCGACACGACCAGCGCCCGAGAGTCTGTGCACGAAACAGCGCGTGATCGTCATTTCGTTGCGACCTTTTCTCGCTATTATTTAGCCTTTCAGCAGCCCTCACCCCTCTCCATTGTCTATCTACTCACGAAAAGCGTCTGGCTGGACGGCGCCTACCCCAACACATCTTTGCACAATCCGGTACCACGGGATTTGTCGCCAACATGTCGCTCACCAGCTCCGCCGCTGTCTGCCAAGCTACTCCCGGTAACAAACCGTTCAATTTCGTCGCTCTTCCTCTCGAGGTCAAGGAGCTTGTATACAAGCACGCCATGTTCGCTGGCGGCCATCTCAGGAACAAACTCTACGTTCCTACCGACATTCCCACCGACATTCCCGGCAAGAACGCACTTCAGGACTCTTTCCCAGCGATTTGTTTCACCAACAAGCTCGAGCGCATCATCGCTTCCCGACTTTACCTGCGATACCAAACAATCTTCATGGACAACAGTGACGACTCACCAGTTCTTGAAGCTTTCCTATCACAGTTCGGAGAAGCCAATGAGGGACTACGATGGTTGAAACATGTTCAATTTGCCTATTACGGAGACTTCTGTGACGACTTCAGCAAAGCTATACCTTTGATCAAGGTGTGCACCGCGCTAAAGACAGTTGTGTTCCACATGGTCTCACCACATCTTTATAAATGGTCGGAACGCGGACCGACAGAGAAGAAACTTAGCACCAGTGCTGAGATCTTCGAGCGTCTGCATCTGCATGGCTTGGCCGACTGTGGTCATTTGACCAAGGTTCGATTCAACGTGTTTAAAGGTCGTCGTGCGGAACTGGAGGGCTTGAAGGAGTTGATCCAGGACTTTTCATGTGACTTTCTGGCGTTGCACGGATCGACAGCCTCCAAAAAACTCGATGTCGGTATCATGGATGAGTATGGTTTGATATGGGTGTTGGAGCCGCAGGTATGAGAGAAAATGTACAGACATGGCGCGGCAAAGTAATTATCGATGGGCCTTTTGCTGCATGCGATTACGACTTCACAAGAGCAGTGGATGGGTGCAATAGTGAGGGCTGGGGTATACATTGATGTGCGTCGCGGTACAGGCAGCGCAGATGTGGGTTAGTGGCGTCTACGTGAAGCTTGATGAAGGTGCAGGCGAGGGAAAACAAGATCCCTGTCTTTTGTCACCGCGATTCAGTACCCACCACTGTAGACCCAAAACTGCGAGAAATACGATGTTTAAAGTCTGAGCTTGGAAGGAAATTATGCATCATTAGGAATCTTATTTTATCTTTCCTAGTGGCGAGTGCTTGTGCACTTTGCATTGTATAAGGCCTGTGTCATCTTGACAGCTACATGAATGAACGTCTGGAGCAGCTAAGGCTGGAAAAGATGGATTCCGATGCGCCATATACTAGACGTATAGTAGTCTCTCTAGCTTTAGGGTGGGGAATTTGGTAGCGCGCCGAAGTAGCAGTTGACAGACTTGATCCTGTTCTGTTCATTGTCGTTAGTTCAGATGTCCTTGACAAAAGAGGCCAGATGTCTAGAGCACTCACATCCAATCCGTACGGATAAAGATCTTCAATAGATCGGCCGGTGTTGTGAGACGGGTTATCTTGGTTGATAACCTCGCAGTTCCGCGTCCTAGCTTGGGTCAGCCTTATATCACTTGTGAGCCTGCTTGATGAGACTTACTGGAATAAGTCGCATCGGAACGACTTGTGCGCATTTTGGTAACCGTCAGGACACTGTGTCAAGGATACCGAGGAAGCCCAAGGGTTGTCCCTACAATGTGTCAGCAACGGTACAGGACGGGCGTAGGTTGGTGCGCTCACTCCCTGATGTTCCTGCAACCCAGATCGCCCTTGGAGCAGGAGTAGGCGACACTTCTGCTACCTTGGTAATTGGTTTGTTCAAACAGGGCAAGCTAAATGGCTATCAGCGAATTGATCAATAGGACGACGATGTGCCATACCAAGTGCGGATCTTCGGCGCTGGTGTCTGCGGTACCGATGTCTGCCGTGCCAACGTTGGAGAAGGTTTCGATGTCGGAGTGGCGCTCAGAACGAGCATCAACTCCAGCGACGTGAGCATCCTTATCCCAGAAGCACTGCATAGACCTAATCATCTTCTGTTCACCGTAGTCAGTAAAGAGACGCTTCTTTCACGACGTCATGACTCATTGGTACTCACATCGAATTTCGGCGTCGACTTCGTGAGCTGGTCGATAGATGTGCGTGTCCAAAGGAACCTAGAAGTATAGTCGCAGGTCGGTGTGCTAGCTAACGTTACTCTCCTACCGCAGATGAGTCTGCTCGATAAGACCTACGAGAAGAAGAAACATGCGAAAGTCCTGCCCGCGTTTGGTGAGCCATCGGGACATGCTTGTAGAGTGAGCGAAGAAGCCCATGGCTCAGAGCTTAGATATGTTAGTCATGGTGAAGTAGACTGGCTCAGTACACTCACGCGCCGTCCGCTAGGCAACCGTTCATCCCTGTAGAGCATAGGTAGGCACTAGCTCGCCTGCCTTGCCTGTTGAGTTCTTGATAGAGGTATACCTAGATGGCAGTTAGGAAACTGAGCAATAGGTGGTGGTGTGCACGTACAGCAGCCGGAGGATTGCCAATGCCTGCAGTGCTGACGCCGGTAGCCTCGGAGATGCCGTCGATGACCATAGGCTCATCGCTGAGCTCGATCGTGGTGCCATCAGTCTTTTGCAGAGTGAAGCCTGCTGCAACCGAAAGCAGCGTCAGGAAGAGGATGAGGAAACGCATTGTGGGTGCGAGGTTGCTGTAGCAGGACGAAGTGATGAGTCGGATTGGGAAGGAGTTGATTTGACTTGGTGGTGGAGGAAGAAGTAAGAGGTAAGGATCGCAACGGGAGCGTAGGTTCATATGTTGAGAAGAGTAGAAGGTAAAGGCAGGCTAATTCCAGGGTCAACAAGTGAGTGCCCGTTTGCCAACATTCCGATCGTTAGTGAAGCCGAGGCCTATGCACGACTCCTGTGTCACGTATGAGAAGTCAGTCGATTGCACATGCTTTCGCGCAAACGACGCCGCGAGAAAGCTGGTTGATAACATATGTTGGCCTGTCGCTTTCACTTATCAGTGATTGTAGTAGAGACTCGTGATGTGGGGTACTAAATCAATGTAATCATTTGAGGTTAGGAAATGCTGAGACAGGCCTCCGCTAGCCCTCCCAGATACTCCATCAGATGTTCGTGATACCCAGCTTTTCTTCCTTTTGGCCTACTATGGCGAAGCTGGAGGAAGCTAACCCTCGTCCTACAAGCGTATCTCTCTCGTAAACTGAGTTGCATATTGAGTCAACATCACCTGGACGGCCCGTCTGTATGCAGCCCTTCCTTCACCTCAAATCCGAAGTCGTACGAAGACGCGACACCTGGTGACCTACCCAAATGTGTGCTCCATGAAGACGTTTGGAGAAACAACACCTAGTGCATCAACCAAGAGTTGTGGAGATTCCTAGGTGGTCCGAGTATAGAGAGTGCGTCTGGTTAATGTTGAAGTTCAGAGGATGGCATCGGCTGCCCCAACGACAACCCCGCGGGTGATCGGCGCTAAGGCCTCTGAGCTCTCATTGGCCCCCGCCATCGCCCACAGGTAGGCAGCTGTTACCACCAGAGAACCCCGAGCCTCGCAGCCTTCGCCCTAGACCTGCCACAATGCATCGATCAAGTGTTGGCAATCTGCTTAACCTACTCCCTCGACCTCCATGGACGCAGCCACTCAATTGGGACCTAGGAATGAACTGGGGTGGCGAAAAACGTGTCTTCTTCTCTGCGTATGTGAGGCATCGTGACGGCAACAGTACGTCGCAATCATCGCCTACCGGGTTCTCTTCATTCCAAAGGCTTCCTACCGAACTTCAGCTTCGTATCATCTCATGTTGTTCGATACCAACCCTTTGGCAGCTCATGAGAACGTCATCGATGCTACGCATCGAGTCATCAAAGCTATTTTGGGGACATCCCGATGCCTCCTTCCTCATGAGTGGTCATTGGATTATTGGAGGCGGTTATCCTGGTCGTACTTGTCTCGACCTCACGTTCCTTGCCTATGTACAGAACGTAGAGATTGAGTACAGCTGCCTGCACTACTGGCTTTGGCCGAAACAAGAAGCAAAGGCATCATTCCGTCTAGAAGACGTGCAACAAGACATTGTGGCTGGATTTTGGTCTTCATTGAAGAAGAGATGCCCGGCAGCTAAGAGGGTAGTGTTCAATCAGAATTTGATGCTCTGCGACGTCATGGAGGAAGTCGAGAAGGTGCCACTATGCCTGGAAGTATTGTTACGAGCTTCTCCAAAAGACATCGTCGCTGAGGCAGTCATCATGCAGACGCGAGGGGAAGGTGAGAATTGGAAGACCGATTTGTACAGCTATAGGGAGAAGCCGCAGTGGAGAAATGTATACTTTCGGCCTCTTGGAGATGGAGGCTGGGAATATCTTGATGCGACAACGCGTAATAACAAAGTACTAGTGCCTGGACGGCTATTTCGCGGTCTAGTCGGGCAGTTTGAGAAAGACAGCTTTGTTTTGGATAGGATCATCTTCCAAGAACGCGCGTTTTGGCCTCTCGTCATAGAAGCCTTGGACCGACACCACTTCGATAACGGGAAAAGCAATGCTTTCGAATGCCCGAAGCCCGAATGCTCGGTGAGATTTACAAAGGCTGGCGAATGGACGATACATGCAGCGACTACGTCACATGGCTGCGCTCGAGCAGGGGATGATCTCTTCGATATACTGCCTACAGAACTGCGAGGAGTATTCAAGGACAGGTACAACATGTTGATGATAAAGAGACAGGAATTGAGCGAGGTCTACACAAAGATCTCGAAAGATTGGAACGAAGGTGGGGAAAAGAGAAAAAGAATGCAGCAAGAAATTTTTCAACAGCTGGAAAACGATCCAGATTGGGCGACAGACGAGCCGGCGGCAGATCACCGGATCTGGAAGAACTTCACAAAGGTGATGGATCCGACCTGGAATGGACAGTGAACAGGATTTGCGACCTGGCTGAGAGTGTATAATGACATTTCAGGGAACTAGTTCGGTCGCGACTCGGTAGTTTCAAAGGGTCGCATGCCGGTAGTCGGAAAATGCAGTGATCTATGCACACTAGATCGTTTGGAGTCTCACGGGCGCGACGTGAGCTTGATCAGGATCAGTAATGCTATCAAATACCCAAGTCGCGGTAGAGCCGGCTTGGTTTGTTCGCTTCCGTACAGTTTCTTCGGTACCAACTCAACCATGATCTCGAGATCAGGTGCATCGGCACATTCTCAAATGCTGAATGATCCGGTAACGTGTTTACTCAACAGGCTACGAATATCACCCTACTCCACCTCCGATGGGTCAAGCGCGTGCATCGGGATGCTCAGTCGGACACCGACTTTGACATCGCGAACCATCGGGCCGTAAAATTTCTCGCTCCTCATGTGTGCTACTAGGCGCGTCCATATGCAAATTTTGAGCCTCATCCTACCCACAACGCGTCTCGAAGCACGCGTGGGCCATTCGGAGCTGTCGGAGCATCCAAAAAGGGAAAGCCGACCGCCACTATAACGTGTTTTCGCGTGGCAGACCGTCTGGAAGTCAGCAAGTTGCAGGCCCCACGTGCAAATGTCGGGGCAGGTCGGAGGTGGATCGAGAAATCGATAGTGGAGATTCCGCGGAGGAGTGAATCGTGCACCGGCAGCCGGTGTGCCATGGGGGCGAGGCGCCAGGCGTTCGAGACGGTAGCCGAGCTGACGTCACGGGTCGCATTCTTAACTTCGATAAACAAGGCTAAGACGCGTGGCGCAGCTTGGCGCGGACGATCGGCGCAGCTTGGTCTGCCTTCTTTTGATGCTTAGAGGGCGGGCGGAGGCCTTGTGTTGGAGGCTTAAAAGCCAAGATCAGGTGTCGCGAAACCATCTGTGGTGTGGGAATCGTGCGAAGATAAGACTTGCAATGCAGTCAAGGATGACGTAGCACACCTTCTACCGATTACTCGGTGTACACCCGACAATGAGGAGATGGCAAGGCGTCCCGCGCGTCTGTCCAAAGCCAATACTACCTTCGCTTCGGTCGACGCGCACTTAAGTTTCGACCCATATTTAATGCTACATCGCCTGGTCTGAGAGGTCCCGGGGACAGTGTCCAACGGCCTCTAGCACCAACGCGCCATAGCGCTCAAGCCCTGTCAGCCGTGGAAGCTGTAATATGACGTTTCGAGGATTCGAGCGCGTGCCTTGTGATGCGCACAGTGTGCATTGGGCTCTTCGGAGCGTGCACTCGCGCCTCTGGATTCACTGCGCGTCTTATAAGTTGCTTCTTCCGCCTGCGTGACGTCTGGGTTTTATCATCTTACCCCAGATTCTCCCACCCAGTCCCCGCAACTGGTTCCCGGGTTGACTACTTTTTACCAACAACCCGCCCAAGCGCATTGCTGTCGACAACATGGCGTCTGCAGCAGAGCGTAAGCCCGAAATCCACGACATGGACACCGTCAACAAGAACGAAGCTGGTGACGCTGAGAAGAAGAGCGCTTCCGACGGTGACCTTAACCACACTGAGAACCCGGCCGATCACGCGATCACCGCCGCCGACAAAGAACACTACGAAAAGTACGGCACCTACGATCGCTACGAAATCACCGAGGAAGACTGCTACGATGAACTCGGGTTTTGTTTTCCAACATGGAAAAAATGGACCATTCTCAGCATCGTCTTCATGGTGCAGGTCAGCATGAACTTCAACACCTCGCTGTACAGCAACGCCGTCGGGGGTATCTCTGAGGAGTTCGGCGTCAGCAAGCAGGCAGCGCGTCTGGGTGCAGCTATCTTCCTCATCACGTACGCGTTCGGCTGTGAGCTTTGGGCTCCCTGGAGTGAAGAGCTAGGACGATGGCCTATCCTCCAGCTCAGTCTCTTCTTTGTCAACATCTGGCAAATTCCCGTGGGCATTGCGCCCAACTTCGGTACCATCCTTGGATTCCGTGCACTCGGCGGTCTCTCTACTGCAGGTGGTTCAGTCACTCTCGCCATGGTCGCGGACATGTGGGAACCGTAAGTACTTCGCGCCTTCATTCGAGTTTCATGCTAACAGTGTTAGTGACAACCAACAATACGCCGTTGCGTTCATCGTCTTTTCCTCCGTCGGCGGCTCGGTCCTCGGACCCATCGCGGGTGGCTTCGTCGAACAATTCCTCGCGTGGAGGTGGAACATCTGGATTCAGTTGATCTTCGGTGGAGCCGTCCAAATCGCCCACGCCATCTTCGTCCCCGAAACCCGTACCACCGTCCTCATGGACCGGATCGCTAAGAAGCGCCGCACAGAAGGCGAGAAGAACGGCAAGCCCGAAAACATCTGGGGACCCAACGAGCTCAAGACGTTCAAGGAACGTTTCAGTGTCCACGAGATTCTCGTTACCTGGATCCGTCCCTTCCGCATGTTCGTCACGGAACCCATCGTGCTCGTTCTCTCCCTGCTCTCTGGTTTCTCCGATGCCATCATCTTCATGTTCCTGCAGTCATACGCACTCGTATACGAGCAATGGAACTTCTCCGCCTACGCTATTGGACTGACCTTCATCGCTATCGGTATCGGCTACTTTATCGCGTGGTTCTCGTTCTTCCCGGCTATTAAGCGCAACGAGCGCCTCCGTCGCGACCACCCCGATGACGAGAGGTCTCAATACGAGGCGCGTCTCTGGTGGTTGCTGTATACCGCGCCATGCCTTCCTATCGGTCTCATCATCTTCGCTTGGACAAGCACTGGCCCACCAATCCACTGGATAGGATCTCTGATCGGATCAGCAATCATTGGTATCGCCAACTACGCCATTTACATGGCAACCATCGACTACATGATCTGCGCGTACGGTCCTTACTCAGCCTCCGCGACTGGTGGTAACGGCTGGGCTCGTGACTTCCTCGCTGGTGTTCTCACGCTCCCCGCCACGCCTTTCTTCTCCAACATTGGCGGAGAAAACCATCTCGCGTACGCGTCCACGATCCTCTTTGCTATATCTCTTCTTCTCGTAGTTTCGGTCTACGTCATCTACTGGAAGGGTCCTGAACTCAGGAAGCGCAGTCCCTTCGCACAGCAACTTAGTGCTGCTCGTGACGAGACTGGTGGCCGCCGTGTTAGCAGTCTTCCAGGCATGTACGGCTCTCGCGCAAACTCATTCGCGCAGCAGGGCGGCTCGATGCCCAACTCTCGCAGGGGTAGTGTGGTGCGCGGTGTTCCGGGTGGCGAGAACAGGTACGCGATGCACCGCAGGCAGAGTGCGCGCAGCGCCGGAGGTGCTTGAGCGTCGCTTGTGTTTCTTAGTAATACAGACGATACGGCATAATGATATCTTAATGTTCATGAATTGATTGTGTGTTACTCTCGTGAAGATGTTGGTGACGGATGGCGATCCCAAGCCTTGTGATCTGTGCTGGCTGTTACATAATCGAATCTGCCCTGCTGTTGCCGTTGTTGCGCGACTTCCTCTCGAGACACCACGAACACTAAACTCCTTGTTATTTTATACCAATACAATGACGCGACCGCTGGTGCGACAGCACAAGCACTCTTGTGACGAAGAGCGCATGTACCTTCATACTGCGGACGCCACCAAAGAACATCTCGCCGACCCAGCGGCCTAGCTAGGTTTGCGCCGAAAGCATCTCGTCCACACGCGGAACAACGGGACTGTATCCACCAAATCCAACCAATACTCCTTAGAGACAAAGATAAGTTTGTCTTATCGCCATCGTGTTGTTATACAACCGCATTCGGGACTGTCTTTGGGGTTATCTCCTCCGGGTTGACAGGGGTGTCCGTACCATTCCCATGTGTGTATGTACTCTCTTCGAGCCTGCTCTTTTTCGAGAAGAAGCGCAAGATCTTCTTCTCGACATCAATACCCTTAGCCTGCCAGGTTATTGCTTCCTCGAACTCATCGAACTTCACGCCAGCTTCTTTCGCGCGTTTACGGATCCCACGAGTTCGGAACAGCCAGACCCAGTGTGAGACGACCATACTCATCTCGATGGCACAGCTAAGCATCGTTAGTCTTATTCACTGATAATATGATTCCCACGATACATACCATAATGCGTACATGGTCCCGAAGAGCACGTCAAACTCGTTCTGGGCTACGAGAGCCATCAGCGAGAAGAACGCGCCGTTCCAATCGATGGCCAAGAAGATGAAGTCTATACCTACGACACGGCCCCGTCTCTTGAGTAGCTCAAATGGGATAGGTATGTAGCCTGAGATGAGAGTGAGAAAGGCGACGATGCCGATCAACAGGACTGGCCACTCTAACCCGTCGGCGTATGGCTGTCGGATAGCATAAACAAGACCAACTTCAACCCCTGCGAATAAGACGAGAAGAGCGAAGAGCAGAAGAGATGCAGTCCAGGTTCGCCATTTCCTAATCCTGGTTAGCCGTCCGATCTTGACAGGCAATGTCGTTTCATTTCGATGGACTCACCGGCTGTAAATAAGACACTGCGCCCAACTAACACCGCACAACACACAGAAGCACTGCGGCTGGACGATAAGCGGGACGTTGAATTGCTGCGCGATGGCGTACACTCCGAAGGGCACTCCACTAATTGACCATAGCAGCATCATGGACTCAGGCAGTCCATCTGTCTTCTTGGTTCTCCAGTTCCGGTATATTTGCGGTAGTAATTGGACGCACCAGAATACTGTTCCAATGGTCCCGAGTACATTCGCAGCTAGAGGTATTGACGTCTGTGGCGCCATTTCACGTCGGCGGAATGAATTCGAGAACGAGTAACACGGTAGTATGGTCCAAGGGTTGCGAGGTTGGAAGCTCTATCGCAACTCAGGTAAGAGGTATTAATGTGTCCTAAGCATCGGTGGCGAACTAGGAAGTGAAATTGCTGGCCCGCTATCTAGCTCATATGCCGACCAGTGAGAGCGCGGTGCAACAGCGGCTCAACCACGAAATCGCAACTTGGGAAACCCGTTATCCTTTCACTGTTTCTCCGCTTCCTAGATGGGCGAAGATATAAGCCAATCCAACTGGTGTATTCTGCGTTCGCTTGGTCCCGTGCTGCGGGTAGCTAGGATCACGCTATGCGAGTCGAGGCAATAGATAACATGTCGTGCATAAGCTTTCCCCACTCTTTTCTACGGATGCCAATCCGGGTTGTAGACCCTCGGTATGCTGCCCGATTCCTTTTGTCTGAGATGCTTCGTTCGGGTTTCGCGCGCGGGCTTCAAGTCTTCCCGTGAGGGACTTTGAGTGTGTACATTGGTCGGGTTGGTAAGTCGATTACGGTGGTTTACCAGGGTTGTTCGTCGAAATGGTGGTTCCCGTACTCGACCATGGTCTACAATACTTCTCGTTCGAGAGGGATATGTTATCCGATTCATCGTTCGTGTCTCGGGCTCTTTTTCAACTCCTTAGCTGTATATTCATTTCCATTAGAACTGTCACTACTGTCGTCAATCCTGTTTTCTAACGATACTCTACACCAATTGACTTAGGAAGCTTTAGACAAGTACCACAGTGAGTGGTGTTAATGCCTGTGAGCTCTATGAAGAATGTATGACGGAATCGTTACTGCGTTAAGAAGACTGTAGATCCGAAGGAAAGGTTGGTATAAGACAGTAGCCGCATCGTTATTGCGCTATGCACGTAGTGAATATGCCGGTGCATACACGGCTGCCTATGGCTACCACTTCGCATATATATTCCGTGCTCTATTGACTGCAAAACACAGAAGATCGTCCTATCAACCTACAACAAACCCCTCAACACATACCGCGTACCTTTCGCAAACTCACTATGGCCGCCGCAACCCAGCCCGATGGCTTCTTGACTCTTCCCGCCGAGCTCCAAGTCAAGGTCTACAAATACGTTCTTGCCGCCGCTCCGAAAGCACCTGGCCCAGGTAATCTCGCACCTTATGCCGGTCTCCTTCTGTCGTGCAAGAAGGTTGCCTTCGACTTCGAGTACGAATGGGCGAAACACTACAACGCGCGTCTCCAACATATCGTCGAGAACACTTGCTTTCACCCATTGCCTGTCAAACGGTATGTGCATGCGGCGCATCTTCGTATCTTAGTCACACAGCCGCGGCCGGACCCGGGCCCATACATTTACGAAGTACGGGCACCACCAGACTTCATGGAAATGACGCGGTTCTACACTCTGAGGCTACCCTACCCAGCCCGCAGTCTTACAGTAGATCAATTTCTCTCCACAGGTCAAGCACTTCAACTCCAGGCCCTGCAGTCAGGAGTCGCATCAAGCGGAGTCTTCTCTCGGGTTGACTTCAGGGCGCAGGAAATACACTGTTCTTCTAAACCGGTTTTCGAACGCCAACACTCCCAGAGTAGCCAGCATGGAAGCCAGAGCGATCATGTTCGGCGTCTGACCCTCGAATCCATACCAGATGAGATTCGGGATCAGATTTGGTACCATGTGCTATCCGAGGGTCCGACTATGGAATAGATTTGCGAGTTGTTGGATGTGTTCAATAACTCGCCTATGATTCAGGGCCACATTGTGTACCGCGCCTTCGGGGACCGCTGGTTCAGGTTTCGGTGAATATGGCAAGCGGGGCACATGGGGAAGGTTTTGAAGGTGTCGATGATCCAGAAGCAAACGAGCCACGTAATGATAGCACTGATGAGATCTTGATATATGGAGCAGGGTCCAGTAGGGGAAAGCATCCAGACTCCAGTTTTCAATAGTTCGCTCATGAAGCCATCACCAAAATCGACAGTGTGTTCGTGAATGTATTGTACTCGGCCTGGTGTAGCTTCAGTCGACGTCTTCTCATTCTGCGTGCCAAGTCCTACTAGCGTATCAGCAGATGTCCCCATCGTGTCATCCGGGTCGAAAATCTCCTGCGCTACGTTGCGCCATTGTTTGAGCGAGACCTATGTATAGTGTGGGGATATCTGTCGACGGAATTGAGCGGAGCCCTGTCAGCCCATTTGGATGATTATGTAAGAAGAGCTAAGTGAGCGGCGCCGATCTTCATACGTCACAACCCCCTCACATCAGTCACCGCCAAATCCATCAGCACAGCCTCGAGCATTTCTGTCGTGTATTTACCTACCTCACAACTACCAGCGAAAACGCAGTCAGAGCTATTTGCCTTAACAATTTCCCAATACCGTGATGTACGGCAGCGTCTTTCTCACGTCATGAAGATAAACCTAGAAATATGGCAAGTGCGCTCGGCCGGAGGCACTACCACTGAAAACCACCGAGATCCGCTACCCTAAACCACGCGGTGCCCAGAGGGTCATAACGATCGCGATCAGCACTCAGCTTGCAGCAAAGACAACGTTGGCTGCTGTTGAGGAGAAGCAAACCAAAGCCACCATCACATCTCATTCGCAACTCGCCCAATCAGCACATGCGGCCCAAGATCCCGACAGCCATCCAAGATACGATCGACGTCATCATAGTCCGTTGTTCTGCTCAAGGCATCTCAAGCGATCCAATTCCGTTGTAAGAAGTGTTCGCATCGAGGTGTATCGTGATGTGCAGAGCTCAGGTGTCATTCCGATGGAACGCCTATCATGCACGCGCGTCGATGGTCCCTTGTTGTTACCGGATCTTTACATCCTGAACTTTGTGGGGTAGCGCCATCGGCTCCGCGATCCCCCAATAGTGCAAGCCACGGGCCGCTCCAAACAACGAAATTTTCTTAATAGCCTTGGTAGGCTCTACCTCATATCTCACTATGCATCCCACACCATCCGCAACGAATGCCTCCTAGAACTCCCTATGGGCGAAGAGATCGCTCCACCCCAAGATTTCGGTGCTTGGGGTCCGTTTGTTCGCGACAACTACCGCCCTATACGTGTGACTCGCGCAGACATAGCTGTAGCGGCTGCAGCGTTCGGTTTGACCAACTTCTTCGCCATAACCGCAGCCTTCATCGCCATTAGGCAGACGAAAGCATGTCGGCGCCCGAGGACCAGTGTCTATATCTGGATGGTTTGGCTGGAAATCGCGGCTTCGGTAGCTCTGGCCATCGATTGCCTGTTGTATTTGTTGAGGATTATAGAACCTAGCTTTTACTTCTTCTTCTCAGTCTGCAAGTATACCATGGCCTTGGCATCTGTACTTGGCTGACATCAGCAGTGCTTTGCTGGGTTTTTCAGATTCAGTTACTGCCTCAAATTATTATCAATCGCATTCGTATCATCCTTGGGGATCGAGTCAAAGGCCGGCGCCTCGTCGCAGGCGCCGCGATCTATGTGAGCCTGATCAATATCAGCGTGTTCATTATCTGGATACCTGCGCGGCTGCAGATAAGCTCAAAGTACGCCTGCAATCCGATTTTCATGAGTACGCCCACTAATGGACGCAGTTGGGTTCGAATTAACGCTATTTGGGATCGCACCGAGAAAGTATTATTTCTTCTCCTCGATGGATACCTCAATTGGTATTTCATCCGCGTCGTCAATGCGGATCTGGTTAAGAACGGCTTAAGCAAGTACAATCGCCTGGTCCGTTTCAACAAGCGCATCATTGTCGTCTCTCTCTTGTTGGACGTCTTGATCATTGGCGCGATGAGCATCCCCAATGGATTTGTGTGAGTTTGGCTTGCTCAAGTGCACCCTCGCTCAACGCGACTAACTCTTACAGCTACGCTATGTTCCATCCTCTTGCATACCTGGTCAAGCTCAACATAGAAATGTCCATGGCTCACCTCATCAAGACCATAGCCCTAGGCAGCCCGAACCCTGGTAATGACCCTTCACGACTCTTGACTTTCTCGTCTTCGCCCGGTGAAGACATGTTCAATGCCGATATGTTTGCGGAAGTACCACAGCAACGACGTTCGCTCATTCGCGGTTTGTTCGGCAGCGACCATATCTCGTTCTCGCAAGAAGATGTCCGCATGAGAAAACCGGGAGATTCCTCTACTGGTAGCACATCCGTGCCTGATTACGAATTGCCGTCTTGGAAACCTAGGGCGGAGAAGGAGCCTGATATGATTGGCAGCGATAATCTCAGCTCTGAAGCGAAGAACAACACGAGAACCCACCAAGAGAACTGTCGTCAGGAGAGCACGGTGCCGAGCAGGACCAGAAGTTTGGATGGAGGACCAAATGTCCCCATGCCGGCGGCAGTACATCTTCCTCCTCGAGCAAACATATCGGAAGTTGGTTGAACAATTCTTGCGAATCGCTACATTCATCACCTAGCAACTACTTAGACAAGGGGTACGATCCTCCTGACGCTAGTGCTACGTCTTGTTGCCGACTACGAATCGCACCGAGCCCGCTCAACGCAATCCGGGACCATTGGCCTACCAGAGGGACGCGTGATGGGACCAGTGACGCTGCTTGTTTTGAAGCAAATGGCATCGCCTCAGCAGATCGCCATTACATACGCCCCTTGATCGTCATGTAAGAGGTACGAGGCTGCATGCAGGCTTCTCATGTCACACAGCGTCTTCGTGTCGCTTGAGCACACGATGGTTATCCCCAAGGGCTTAAGGAAGTGGCGCATACACTGATCAATCCTCCGCACGAGTTTGCAGATGCGAGAGTAATGCGCACAAGTACCGCAGATCAGACTTATTGCTGACTGAACGACACACTGTTCGGGCCAGGGCTGATCCGATAGTATTGGGGGTTGCTTCTACGACATTACCACACAAAACGTGTCACGGGCGGCTGCTTGCCCGTGTGCGCTTGGGAAGATTTCACACAGACTATTGGGATGAAGTGCAACAACGCATATGTGCCGCAATACCCCTGATCTAAACTGTTCTTTCGTTTGGCCGCCAATCAAGCATAGAATTATTGGTCAGACTCGCTCGTACAAGCGCTATGGGTACTTACGGCTGTGAAACAAACATGCCGCGAGAGGAAACATGCGCGTGGTATACCTAGCCGATAATCGAAGACTATTGAATGAAAGAGATTGTCTTCCCGCTTGGTACTCTGTGTGACGATGTTGCCTGGTAAGAGATACGCGGCACATAGGTATCACGAGAGGACGAATCAAATGATTGTTTGATATCCCAACATAAGAACCAGCATCACCCCACCGTGCCGGCTGCTGATACTTCCTCATACGCACCTAAACCCACCTGAACGTAGGACTTAGCAATCGAGCAACTCTGTCAAGGTTCCATACATCAAACCCACCGAATCGCAACATGAAGTACCATCTGTCTTTCGTCGCTTTCATGGCCATCGGCCTTGCCGCCGCACAAAGCATTCGGCGCGAAGTTCGCATTGAGAAGAAGAGATCGGAGTCAGATCTATGTATGTACACCCTTTCCATCCAATCATCCCAATATCAAAAACTGATAACCTCAGATTCCGTTCCTGTCCCCGACTCAGTGCACATAGAGTCCTACCCTGCCATCCCACCGCCCGTAGAGCCTACCGACATCAGCTCCGACGACTCGTGTTCCACGGCCCTCACCACCATTACGACTACGCGTACCGTCTCAGTCATCACGCAGATCCCTTCCAGCCTCGCTAGTGTCACCGGTACTTTCGATCTGAGCTCCTCCGGGCCTTGGCAGTCAGCGCCTTCGACGAGTGAGACTGGCGGCATAGCCCTCAGTACTTGGCTTGCGCCCCAGCCATCGGGCGGTACAGCCACGGATTTCGTGCCCGCTCCGAGCAGTGTCGCTTCTGATGGTGAGGAGAGCAGTGCTGCGCCTCCGTATGCTCCTGCTCCTTCTGCTAGTGATACGACGACGGCGACTGTTATTGTCGAACCGACTCCGTCCACGTCGAGTACTTCGGGTCTGCCGGGGTTTACGGATGCTGCTGGGACGGTCGGGGTGCCGGTGGTTGTTGTCGGGGTTCTTGGGTGGGCTGCTTTGGTGCTGTAGGAAGGGAGGGTTCGTGGTCACTTGGTTTTGGGAGGGGGGGAGTAGATAGTAATGTTTTACGCAAATGTAGAATCCGTCCTTATGAAGAGACTGATCGAAGGAGTGTGTTTACGATGCTATACTAGATATCTGTCATCTGATCAACCTCCCCGTCATGCCGTGTTCTACTTGGAGCCATAGTGCATGCTGTCCAAGTGGCGAGAGGTGCGTTTCATGTGCTACGCGATATGAGGGACGATCTCTCACCCTCTTATCACCTACAAAATAACTCTGGTACCGGCTCTATCGGACCACTTTATCCTTGCCAATTGGGGTCCTCAGCCTGAAGGGCACGAGCAATAGCCTCATCGTCAGCCTCCTCAGGGTTGATGCCAATGCGTGCCTCTTCGCCAGTGAGAGCAATGGAGCCCTGTTGTCTACCAGTCATGCAGCAAGAGTAGAACAAGCTAGCCCACAGGAAGACCCTAAGTACGCACTCTGATCAGTACAATCCCTTGTGGTATTGGAAAGTGATGACCTACCAGTTGAAGAAGTTCAACCAAAGCAACAGTCCCTGCCATGTGTTGATCTTGACTCCACTGATCCACAATCCACGCTCTCCGGCAAAGTGCGCGTCTCCCTTTGCTGGTGTACTGGCGACATGTCCAATGAACCCTATGATTGACATGCCAATCGCAGCCGCCATTTTGAAACACTGGTATTTGATGTACCTCTGCTTGGAGAGGGTACCAGCGACGGCGCGCCTCTGTTCTCGGCGGACGAGGTAGACGGTAGTGATGGAGGTCAGGAGGGGCGTGTAGAGGAGGCTCAACGTGAACAGCTTGCGCTCCGATGGGATTACGAGGGTGAAGAAGGCGGCGACCACGGCGAGGATTGCAATGCCCATTTGGCAGTTCTGGATGATGCGCAAGCGGGGAGAAGCATCGCGAGGGAGGGCGGAGAAGGGCCCGAAGCTCGTGGGTAGGTTCATGGACGGCATCTTGGTAGAAGATACGCCGTTACTTTCGTGGTAGCAAGAAATGAGAGGAAGCAGATGTAAGCACACGATGCGGGCGTCGCAGCGTTCTTTATCGTGGGGCTGGCAGCTTCACCGGTTGCGCCTCAGGAACAACGGGAAGCATACCCCTGCCAGCCACAGACCTCAGAATCCCAAATTTGGCATCTTTCTATACTCAAATTCGCGCGCCCTGGTGGGGAGGTGGTGCGCGATTGGGCCGGGTGCCTGGAACTAGGGCGCGCGATACCGCAAGCGTGTCGCGTAGTTTAGGCGGCCAGCCTGGCGTAGGCGGACGTCGTGTCAAGCTGTCAGCACGCGATCTGGTTTTTGGCGAGCGAGGCTAGGAGCGTGTAGGTGTTGATGTATCGAATATGTAGCCCGGCGGCTGTCAAGATGGTGGTGAGAGATGCAAGCCACTCGCTGTTTGGAAACTGGGTATGTTCTGGGCCGTCAGCACTGCGGTCAAACTCGAATACTGCAATGAAGGTGTCAGCCGGTTGTGTGCTATCGCCATCACTCGAGGCGTTGAACTGGACATCGTCGTAAGACCTGCTCATCGTTCCTACTCTTGTAATGTCTGCGTTTACTTTTGCAATCAGAGTATGCGTTGTTTCCGCTAACGCGCCATGCTCTTTGCGCCTGAGGCAGTCATCAATACGAGAGATTGGATCATCGGTAGCATTAGCGACCTCAAACACCAGCATCAAAAGCCACCCGTTGTCGCTGGTCGCATGATCAGGTTTCGAGATCGATGAGGGATTCGACCAGATCCTCTCGCACGCGAAGCGGCTCATCTGCGCCAGACATGGCATGAACTGAACAGTCCTCTTCGTCGGGTGGTTGAGCGCATACAGGTACTCGGTAGACGCGAGATCTTGGACGCGTGAAGTCTCGTACAAGGCTAGATAGTTGTCCAGGCCATCGCTGGGTTTCTGTGTGCGGTAACGGCGCGCGCGTTGAAAGCCCGGGAGGCATACACGCTCGGGCAGGTGCTCGTTGGTCCACCAATCGTTCAGTGCATCTTGATCGATTGTGGCAGAGTCAACAGATCCCCATAGGATGAGAATACCGTTAGTCGTTTGCGACGCGGTTGAGGGAGATGCCATCTCATGCTAAGGCGAGTTGGGCGGTACGGAGTTCACGACGCTGGCCAGCCTTGGGCTGCTGATAGTACAACTAGCCGCAATTTCAGTTTGATACGAATTGTGCGTATGTCGCAAGATGGCTCAGAAGACTCAAAGGGATGACTTTGCCCAGGCTGGTGTTATGGCGCGCGTGCAGTGCTGCTCTTATCGGACCTTACGGTGATTTGCCAAGTGGGGCAGCTGCCGGTTGTTCCTGCAGTTCTCCGCACAACCATCATCCCACGTCCCTCCCTTCCACCAACATTCCCTTGTCCAACATGCCCAGGGGGTGACAAAACGCTCTTCACCATGCGACAAAGTCTGAAAAAGCCGATGATCGGCAATTCGCACGTTCGTCCGATGGTCGCGGCCTGAAACTGGTATCCCCAAGCCTCGGCCGGCGAGAATAACGTCTCAGTTTCTGCCGGTGCCATGAAATTCTCGAAGGCTATGCGCTTCGCCACGGCGCGGCGCATCGCCAGATGACCTGGTCCTCGAATCGTGCAGCAGATTTTACGGCCGAGGAGAATTACAATCTCGCTCACTTGCATCCGAAAATCGATAACGCTCGCGCCAAAGGGATCGCTGCCTCCTAAGCGTACATCGAATCGGTAGAAGACTCTGCCTTTAGAAACAAACTGGAACGAACAATCCCTTGCTCTGGATCCGCGATCTTCGCGCGTAGGAACCGGTGAACAACATCTGGGAACCATGTCAAGCTCTTGTCAAATTCATCTACCGGCACTATGAACATGACAACGCATCCTATGCCTGCCAGGGTTGCAAAATTAATTGGCTGGATAGCTCCGCTGGATGGCATTGTCTAATTTCCCACAAGATAACCCACACGGCTAACGCAGATCGACACTAGCATTCAGCCTGTCTGCGGCAACTAGCCGAACAAGCCTTGTTACCAAGGTCAGGGGAAAATATTAAGTAGCAATGCGCCTCCTCGTACAGGCGTCTGCACGCCGTCAAGCCTCAGCTCCTCGTATCGTCAGTCGTTTTTGCGACCACACACTCATTTATACCCAATCCAGTCATTCTTTGTACTTGCGCAACTCCGACCGTTATACCCTAATCTAATCCTTGTTTTTTACGAGACCCACCAAACCCACCATGCGTCAATCCATTGCTATCCTCTCCATCCTGGCAAGCGCGGCTTGTGCTGAAGACGTCGTCAGCTTCTTTTTCCCTGGTGGTACGTCACTCCCGCCCGAGGAGCACCGCAGATCAAAGTCTAACAAGCGTAGGCTACGACGGCATCGACCCTGTCGCAACCATCAACACCGCCAACCCTTCCACTACCGAGTTCCACATCGCATGCCCCACGGGCGTCGACGATAGCGAGTGCGGCTGGGGCCCAGGTCTCGATGTCACCATCCTCTCGCAAACGCGCTTCCAAGCCCAAATGTCTACCGACACGATATCCATGAGCCTCGGATGCGACTACAACGAGAAGGCAGTCGAGATGACTTGCACGGTGAACCAGCTTGGTGGCAATGACGATACGGGCGGCAAACCCATCACTGCGACACTCTCCAGTGATGACGTGCAGTTCCTTTCTGCAACCGTCGTTGCTGGAAACAGCCTCTTGACTCCTGCTGCAAGTGCCGCGACCAGCATGACTGCCTCAGCGCAAGCTGGCAGCACTATTGCCACTACTATGAGGAGTGCTAGCACAGGCGCGATGACACCCAGTGGATCTATCATGCCGACTAGCACCATGGCTTCTTCAGCGTCTACACCTGCTGCCAGTGGATCTGGATCGGCGTCCGCGTCTCTGCCCGAGAGCACCGGTGCCGCTTCCAAGTACGGCATTGAGGGCTCGGCGTTACTGGCCCTTGCTGGTGCTGCTGCGCTGAACCTCTGGTGAATGCGCCAATGAGGAAGTTGGTAGATGATAAATAAACGTTAAAGAAGAGCGTCATTGGCAACAAAGACGCGATTTATCAATTCGTCAGAACCCAACCGCGACCAATGTGTCAATTTGTGACTTACTCACTACGATCTTCAAGCCATCCCGTTACCTCTAATCATCGAGTTGAAAGTTTTTGTTTGTTGATAGACGACCAGTACTCACTGAGGGACAGCCCAGCTCAGACCGCCACACAGTCCACACGTCCTGCCTAGTTACGGCATCCCGAGTCCGAATATTTTCTAGCACGACCGTAGCAGGCACAGGCCCTTCGATGAACCTATGCAGCTCAACAACACGCAACCTATCGAGGCGATAACCCAAAGCACAACCGCAAATCTTCTCCGCAAACTTGAAAGCCAACGCGTCAGCTGGCTGAAAGACTACGCGTTCCATCGTGTGGGGGGGTCTTTTCCTAGTAAGCAAGTACGCTGAGGAGTTGAAACGAAGCGTGTGTAGATTTTTGAGCCTTCTACACAAGTACCTGAGCTTCTTTCCATTCTTACGTTGTGACCTTCCTAGTGGATCGACATTATCGTTGCATTCCCAGAGGATAGTCAGGTTTATGATGGGCGCGATGTCTCCCTCGAGGAAGTTTACGAACGGGTGCCGCCCGTTGTAGTCCAGGGTCAGATGTGTGAGACTGCTGATGTTGATACATAACCAATCAAGGTTGGTAGACAAAGTCAGACTTTTTATATTCGTCATGCTTAGACCTTGACTCAGCCAACAAATGCCAGTTTCTTCCTCTCGCCTGAGAAACCAGCCAAGATTGCCATACACGTTGTTGGAACTGGGTGCTGCTTTGGCGTAGATCTCGACGGCGCGCAGTTGAGGCAAAGACGCTAATATCAAACTAGCGACCATGAGTTCGCTCGGGCAGGAGAGGCTCTGTATCCATCGTGCGTGACCTGCGCCGGATCGCTGGGAGCCATCCGGGAGAGTGTAGATAATGTTGGCCATCTTTGCTGCTAAACTGCCTGGGACATGGTCCGACGACTCGCTCAGGTATTGTAACGGCCGTATAGGCACACCTTTCCATAACCATGTCGCTAGACTGCACACATTTTTCACTAGATCGGGGCGCTCGATAATTGTACGCAAGAAATGCAGAATCGGTGATGCATAAAAGCCGTCGTACGACGGTTCGCGGTCTTGTAATTGGCGCGGTAGCGATACATTTTTGAACAAAAATTCTTGCGCTATGGGTGCAAGCCGCTTACAGGTCAATGCTAGATTCACTAGTGGTTGCGTGCTTTCTCTATGTTTCTGCCGTGTCTCTGCGGCACTCTGGGGAAGTGTAGCTGTCGGCGGATCTTTGGGATGGAGAGGAAGCCAAGTGGGCGAGCCATAGCCATCGTCTTTGTCGATTCTCACGTCGGACTCTAGATAGCTGGCAATCTGGAGGAGGAGCTCGTTGGGTAGGTCGAGAAGCGAGGGTTTGGTAGGCATAGACATATTGTTTTGGATCCCCAGATATGGTGATCAGGATTCCTTGAGCTTGAGACGTGAACGAGGCATGCCCGAATTATAAGCGGTTCACGGAGATCGTACATATGAAGGTCGTAAGAGGACAAAAGAGGTGTTGATAATTCACAACGCCACTTGCACCCAAACACTGTTCAAGATCGTTCTTGTGCAGCCGTACCACATGTCGAACTATATGAATCTCATTTCCGCACTGTAAAGTCAACATTCTATTCAGTCGCCTACTCTTGCTTCGTGCTCCTTCCAGAACTATGCATTTTGGATACTTCCTCTTGCCCGCGCATTCGCAGTTAGGAGGACGAGAGTCGCCACAGTCAGGTATGCAAAAATGTCTAGAAACCCGAAGCTCATGATAACGCTAAACCCCAACACAGCATACACCAGCCGCCCGTACACTAGAAACTTCAACATATTCCTGCTCGACCTTGGAAAGTGTGTTTCGTATGTCAAACGAGTAAACGCAAAGCCTGCAATTATGAAGAAAACGGCAGGTACGACATCCTCGCCAGAACGCGCGCCAGAACGCGCGCGGTCATAAATTGCATGCCCAGTTGCAATGTCGCGTAAGAGTCTTAATTCAGGGAATCGTTTCATCAAACCGTACGAGTATGTGCCATACGCAACGTGCAAAGCTGGATCGTGGATAGCGACGTACGACGGAGGTGTATTCCCGAATCGCTGATAGGCCAGGCAGAAGACCGCGATGGGAGCGACGATAGCGAATATAGGAAGGGTGATGAATAGAAAAGCGCGCGAGGCTTCGTCGTGCGCGATAATGATGAATACGTCGAACCATGTCAGTACCTCGCCGTTGTACATTTTGATCTCGCTGCTTGATGCATCCATGTCTTCGACGCCGAACGGGGTCCATCCGAGTTTGCGGTCGTGCCACTGGAACCAGGGTGTTCGACATACTCTGCCTAGAAAAGCAGTGGATCTCGTGCGAGGGAATAGTGGAAGGAGCTTCTGGCGACACAAGAGGCATTGTTCTACATCGTTGGTGGCGCGTCGGTAGGTCTCGAAACAGTGTTGGCCAACAATGTGGCCGCATGGTAACCTTATGGGTAGGCATTCGGGTCTTGAGTCACTTCCCTCTTCGTCGTCCTCTTCTTGGCTAAAGTACGTGCGCAGGCATATCCAGCAGTCTTGTTCGATAAGATCCGCCGGATCGACGTAAGTAAACTGGTAAGCATATCGTGTACTGAACAGAACATGAGAGAGTGACTTTTCCAGAGTGCTCATTGTGGAGAGTAAGATACCTGAGAGTGGTAGAGTATGGGAACCGCAACGAAAATGATAACCAGTTTACCGATATTGACTGACATATTGACGGAGCCGATCTTCACACGTTTGAGCATATTGAAGATATGGTCTACACGAACTTCCGTTCGATCGGAACCAGTGCTGTAGAGTGGTGATTCAATTGTGGTAGTCGAAGGTAGCAAGTCATGGAAGGTGTATATCCTTGGAATTCGATCGTCGACTAGTATTATATGGGGATATTGACGCCAGGGTACACTGTTGACGCGAGTGCAGCTTCGTTAGGCGCTCCCAAGTCCTCCAGATCCGGTGAAGGAGCGGTAAATGGCTTGAAATGTGCGCTCATATGAGGTGTATCGTAGCCCACTGATGTTGCAGTCGAGGTAGAGTCAGTGTTATGATCCCGGCGAAGGACGAGTGCAAGGATGGAATTAAAAGGGTCCGCTGACCGCAATTCGCGCACGTGGCCTGAGACGGTACAACTTGGGCGAGAGGTCCGTAAAGTTTAGCAATTTCCATAGTGAATCGCGTTGCGATTGTGCAACTGCCGAGAACTCTTTCCTCTCTCACCACTAGAAGCCTACCCGATGCAGTTAGCGTGGCTCGAGCGTGGCTCAAGGCCACAAGCAACATTGAACAATCCAGCCTTTTCCACTCACAATCAAAACCAACAGATCTGTACTTCCGGAATAGATTCAACTCACAACCCGCCGCCATGTCGCAATCCAGGACCGCGATACTGCGACTTCCCGATGAGCTCCTGGTCAGTATCACTGGCGGAGTCGAAATCGTAGACCTCCGCGCTCTCTCGCTCACTTGTCGTCGTATGCGTCCAATATCACAAGAAGGTCTTATCAAACGAGCGACTGTCGAGCCCACAAACCTGTGGAAGCTGAACGCGATGTTGCGAATTCATCCAGATCTGGTCGCGTCCTTCACCCATCTTCGTCTCGGACCAATGACGATGGACGTAGCGCGTGATTCATACCAAAAACACTACACCGCATGGAAGATCAGCAGGGGTTGCTATGAGCATAGCACGACAGACGCGGAAAGATGGACAGTATGCTTTTTCGAGAGCATGACCGTTCTCTTTACTCTTGCGCATAGTCTGAAGGCTACATCCTTCAATGGAATGTCCGGCGCCATCTTCGATGAAGTCAACGACGCATATCATGCGTTCATCCGTCACAACAAGCCTGCAACCATATCAACGCATCAACCAATCCGACAAGCGAGATCGGATCTTCAAGCGCGACTCGAGGAGATCAATGTCGAAGTTAGTCTTGTCAGTGAATATCTGCACAACGGTCTGATCATGGGCCTGGACCCGGTAGACTTTTCAAGTCTCAAGCGGCTGGTGATCCCATACCAATACCTATTCGACAAGCTATGCATCCACGACAGGGTTACATTCGGACATCGCATTCGTGATCCAGCAACGGCTGAGCTTCGCCACGTACTCCCTTCATCCCTCGAGTCTCTCCGTACGAGCATTAGCCATGAAAATTTATGGCCAGGCACACAGTGGCTCGACAATCTGATAGCTGATGATGTCAACTTTCCAAGATTGCGCGAAGTCCAGCTGCTGTATCCGTATAACATCGTCTCCATGGGCTGGCATTATAGATCCATTCCCTATTCCAACAACAAGGAGTTCCCGGCTGCGCTTCGGAGATGGCGGGCATCGCGTGTTGACCTGACCACCGCGTTTGGCACTACTAAATTCCGCGAGATACGATGGGAGGAACCGAGCGGTAACCTGACTACTGCCTTGGCGACCAGGAAACTTTACGCGGACGCGAGACAGCCAGAAAGGCATTATAGCACCGGTGATCTCATTCCTGTCATCGAGAAGTGTCTGGCCACTACACATGATCAGTTGGAGAAGGAACCTGAGATGATGGCAGCACTTGGCTATGTACTAAGGTCTCCTTGATGCCGTCGTCTTCGACAGTTCCACGGAGCTCTCTACAATATGAATTGTACAAGCGCTGCAGTGGTTGGAAAGGGGTTATTGAGGCGATTCAAAAAGGAATGACGACCTGAGTGTGTGAAAAGCGGTGGCGGCGGACACGCAAGGGCGGCTGTAGTCAATCGAGCTGCGCTGGACTCAAATAGCTGACAGTTTGAAGAGAATACAAAAGTGAATGGAAAATGGTCATGGGTATTCACAGTTATTTTGCAGTGGTGCAGTGCCAGGCGTCGTG